TACTAACATGTATAATCATACTCACTTGGCAGGGTGACAACAGAGTACTCAGTCGAAGCAGAGTCCTGAGGGTCTTCTCCATCCTCACTGGACAATCGTATTCGTTTGTGAACCGGTTCAGTGGTCTCGTCTGAACCCAGGTCCTCCCCATCTACATGACCAAACAATAATGCAAATATTAGATAATGAAGCACAATTAAATGGTGCTCAAATGTTGTAGTAATTTGCAACCGGAGAGGTACGCTTTACCATTTTGAGGGCAGTGCAGTATGATGTTTCCATCAGTGTCCTGGGTAAATGTGACAGAATTGACGGATTCAAGTGTCACAGTGGCCGGGACATCGCCTGTGTTCATGCTCAGCCTACAGGGTAAAACATAGTATTCAATTAAACTCAATTCAGGTTTATTTGTATTGTGCTTTTCACAATATTATTGTTTCAAAGCAGCTTTACCAAAGACGCACATTATTGCATTACAATTAAATTCTGAAAATTTAAGGTTATTAGTTACTTTAACCCTATTAGATACTAATAACTTTAACTAATTAACTGGTAACTAATTGCTTTTAACAGGTAAAGTTAAACATAGTTAACCTGCAATTATATGGTATATATGTGATGTCCTCCACTACATTATATTGATGCAAACATTATACTAACAAAACAATTCATGCAATTCGGGCGGTTTGCTTGTAACCAGTACTAATTTATATATATATTTCACCATATATTCACAAGAGATTTAAGGTAATATAAACTTTAATTAAACAAAGATGATTGGCCTGCCATAATTATTGATTAGCTGTGGTTATATGATCTAATAGCATGACCTGAATGATCTGAATTTTAGTCACATTCTGCTATTTAAATAAGGGAGATTTAAGAGCATAAACAAATGGCATTACCATGTAATTATAGAAGAAGGCTTTGTTATTTAGCATTTTCTTCAAGTTGAAAATATTTTGACATTTTAAACGCTATAGTCACAACTTTAAAGAGTCTTTTTAATTATGTTTCCATGTAAAAATATCACATATTTTGTACTGGGTTTACAAATTAGACAAATCAATAATCACAATGACTTGTTGCAATAAGTGATGTTGTACTTAGGGCTGCACAATATATTGTTTCAGCATCGATATTGCAAAGTGCGCATCTGCAATAGTCACATCGCAGGTTCTGCAATGTTGAGTTGTGTTTATAGTTGACCAGGAGCCAAAGGTTTTTTTAAGGTGAAAGTCTGCCTGTGTTTCTCAGTCCTGTGACTGTATAAACATTTCAAGTGTCAAGCATTCAGTCACAAGAAATTGTATAAGTTATAATATTAATAAAGATACGTTTTATTATTTATACAATGAAAGACGATGCAGTGTTTTTTTTTGTTTTTTTTTTACATTTGATTGTTTCAATTTCTTTACCTGAATACTGTTTGGCAAAACCATAAAGCAACATCGCTTGTAATTTGTTTATTATTTTTATGCATTAATCTATTGCAATCAATGTGACATAATGAACATTTTCCAAATATAGAGGTAAAGTTGGTTTTGTAAATGGAAATAATAATTTTAGAAAAGTATTCTTTGCAAATTCTAAAAAGGGAAACTATATTAGCAGAAAATGACCATTAAAGTACAGCATTGTTCACAGTGAATTAGATAGTGGTAATGTTGTTTGGAAGCCATAATTGCATGCTAATTCCGATCGAATATTCAAAGTAACGTGGTAAACAATAATATAGGTAAAGTTAGTTTTATATTCACACATTCGTTCATTTAGAAGTCTCTATATTGTTTACCATGATACTTTTGAATATTCGATCGGAATTAGCATGCACGTATGACTTGAAAACATTAACACTGTTAACTTGACTGGGGACATGTTGTGCTTAGTCATTTGCTGCTAATATGATTTCGCTATTTACAGTTTGAAAATAATACTTTTATGAAATTATATTATTAAGGAGGAAGTCTGAATGTGTGAATATAAAACCAACATAACTATGTAGACTGCTAAATAAACGAATGTGTAAATATAAAACCAACTTTTACCTCAAATTTCCAAATAGTTATTCAAGGACCATGATGAATCTTTATACATATCGCAATATTTAATGCAGAAAAACAAAATATGCCAATGTCAGATTTTTCCTGCAGCCCTAATTAATTATACTATATTTTAATACACAGTATTGTTATAAAGATGTGCTAAACTGCAGTGTGAATAAAATACAGAAAAATGATAAAACCCTTCATAATTTAAAAACTCAAACAGATGAAAAGAAAAACAAATGGGCTTATTTATTTACATTTTCAAGTAAATAGACATCAGCCAAGTACACATAGCAAATGATAACCCATCGAAATAACGTTATCTGTTTACTGTTAATCTTCAGCCCACAAATACATAGCCGTAATAGGTCCAAAAGCCTAAAAATATTAGAATAAAACAAATCCATGCGTCTTTCCGAGCATATCAATAATCTAAATTAACTCTCTGGTTATTTTATCTTAGCAGACGAGGAATAATGAGACGCCATGTTTATGTGCAACAACAAGCCGTGCGGAATCGACGGCGTTTATTCGATGTCGGTGCTTTGTTGTCTTAATGTACAGGACAAATAAACAAACGGCCAGCGCACAGGGGTGAGCGAAAGTGAAATTTAGCTATGATTTTGGTACTTACTTCCTGTTTTGGGTACGGGGACTTCGCAGTGACCAGGATGAAGGCAAATACCAGGATGGAGGAAAATACGCTTTTTTTCTTCCCCTTCGCGTACAGAGCGGAAGTGTCTACAGAAGCCCACTGGTGGCTTCCGTTTTTGTTTTGCTCGAGCGTTTGTCTGTTTTTTTAAAGAGCAAGTTGCGTTACATCATATGGGATATTTAGCTCATCTGCTTATGTTACAATATTCGTGTGTGGAGTTTAAAGCTATGTAAATATAATTTAAATTACGTGACTGAAACACTTTAAGATTAACAGCGCCATCTGGTGTTTAGTAAGGGGAAACGCATATTACTTTTATAAAGATGCATCATAATTATTGCATTACTAGTAAAGCAAAGGAGGTCTTGTGTACATTTTAAATATTTTTTAGCACAGGGTATTAAAGTAAATGTAAATGTAGAAGACACTTTGGAAAAAAATGCCTCTAATTTATTTGAGGAGATCATTTTACAAAACCGAGAATTATTATCACCTTCATAAGCTGCTAGTTCAATGTTTTTCGCTTGATTGTGATATAAATCTTGTATTTTATTACTTTTTTTGTAATTAAATATGTTTGTTTAGTAGTTGAATTAAGTAAATAAATTTTTCAACTTAAAACTAAATAAATTAGAGCAACTTTGCAGCTATAAATTCTAACCTAGAACATTAACACATGAGGCGAAATACAATGCACAATAAACAAATACAAATAAATTAGCATCAGGATGGAGGATCCTTGATTGTGTGCATGAAGATCATTGCACTGATACTTCCTGTCTGTTTCCTGTTCCTGTCTTGTTTTGCTTCTATCCTGAATAAATAAATGCGGTTGTATAATGTGTAATATTACTGAATTATTGATTGTGCACTGCATCTCTGGTGACCTCCAAACATGATTTTGTTTTTCTCTATCGGTCATTTTAAATAATAAAAGAGCAGCGTATGAGTGTTCAGCTTTTTATGCATCTATATATCAGTTAATTAATTAGTTAGTGGATTATTATCATTTGTGAATCCAAATCTACTCTGAAACTGAGAAGCCTATGTGTATTTATAATGTAAAACGAGACATAAGTACAGATTTTATCCCCCCAAAAATGTATCCATAATTAAAATAACGTTGGTAAAAAGCAATGTTTTGGTATTATAACTATTTTGTCAATTATTTTTAAAACATAAAGGTATTTTTACACTATGCCTTTATAAATGTATCCATTTTTAGATATCAACTATTTAATATAATTTTACAAGCTTTCATTCATTCCTTCTTTCAATTATGCATTCGTTCATTCCTTGTTTCAATTATGCATTGAATTATTCATTTATTCATTCCATTAGTCATTCATTCAATTATAATGTAATTTTATTCTTTCATTCATTAATTAGTTCAATTATTCATTAATTAAATAAACTATTGATTCAACTATTCATTCATTCATTAATTCCATTATTAATTAATTCAATTATCCATTCATTCAATTATTCATTCATAAAAATGGTTCACTAATACAGTCCATTATTAAATTATTAATAAAGTATTCATTTATTCACTCCATTATTTCTCATTTAAATTATTCATTCATTTCATTTTTCATTCATTCAATTAATTGTTTAGTTATTCATTCATTAAGTCATTATTCCTTTCATTTATTCAAATATTAATTAATTAATTCCATTCCAATTCAATCAACAATTTTTCTATTCATTACATCATAAAACTATTAATTCAACTGTTTACTCATTAAGTTATTCATTCGTTCCATTATTAATTAATTTAATTATCCATTAATTCATTCAATCATTCACTAATTCATCTAATTATTCATTCATTCAATTATCCATTCAATTATTAATTCATTTAAATATTAATTCAATTATTAATAGTGAATTCCATTCACTCATTTAATCAAATATTTGTTCCATTAGTCATTAATTTATTAATTACTATTAATTCAACTGTTCATTCATTTAATTAATTATTCATTCCATTATTGATTTAATTATCCATTATTTCATCCAGTTTTTCATTCATTCATTCCATTATTAATTAATTAAATTATTCATTAATTCACTGATTGTTTATCCATTTAATCAACTATTCATTTAATCATTCATTCAATTATTCAATTATTAATTTAATTATTAATTAATTCAATTATTCATTCTTTCTTTCTTTCAATCATTCATTCACTCCATCTCATTTTCTTTTTGTAAACAAAAAAGGTTAACCTGGCCTAAATAAAAGATGCCGTGTGAGTTGAGCGGCAGACCAGACGCGCGTGACGTCAGACGCTGGCTGTCAATCAAAGCCCCATAAGCGCAACTACAGTAGAAGCTTATCGTTGAGGAGAGCGCAGCGTGTTCGCATTTCAGCCCGTAGTTTATGCATAGGCGTCGAAAAAACCCCGTTGTCTGCACTCGGATCCCTGGCATCTCTCGTTTTCCTCGGACTCCTGCCTTTATGAGATGGAGAAGAGGGCGCTTTGGTCATCCTGTTATATTGTGCGCTTTGTAACGCTTTTCCTCTGCGCACGAGCCTCAGGAAACCTGCCACAGTGTAAAGAGGTAAACGACATGTTAAAAAAACACACAATTCTAAACCAATCATAATCTAGAATAGCTTTATTTCTGCATGTGATGTAAGTAGGCTAATTAAAATAAATTCTGACACCATGTTATATGGATGGTATATGATTGTGAGCTTCTAAAATGACTTTAACGCATGTTATTATTATTGTTATAACATATATATTTTGTCTACTCAATTATGGCTATGTATGCTGAAAATGCGGTGTGAAAAATCAAAAAGTACATCTTGTTATGGACATTACAATGATCAGAGCCAAGAGGAGCGAGGATCCTATAATATGATGACGCAGCGCAGACGACCAATCAGATGGCGGCTCGATTGTTGTGTGTTATTATGCGCCTCGGTTGTGTGTTGGAGCTTGTAAAAAGATTTGTTTTATTATTAACTTCAAACATTTTAACGCAACGTGAATGTCTGTTCTTCCTGCGTTTGAGTTGAAAGGCTGTGCTGCTGATTTGCGTCATCCGTGTTTACATAAAAAGATGAAATTTAAAGGGCCACTGCGCCGGAAAATGAAGAATGGATGCTGGGCAGAATGACAGCCTCAGTTACCATTTTCTTTTTTATGTATAGAAATTAAAAATTTGTATGTAAACATTTAGCTTCAGCTTTCTAAAATTTGGAACAACATCAGGTGGTTGTGTCAGCTGTCAACCCTCACAATTTAGGCAAGACAAGTTTATTTGTATAGAACATTTCATACACAATGTTAATTCAAAATGCTTTACATAAACGAGAATAAAAGAAACAAGACAATAAAATAGTTAAAGAATTAAAAATGAATAAAAAATAGTTTAAAATGTGTTTTTAAAAATGTGATGAAAGACATAATAGTGTGATCTGTCGGTCGGTGCACAGTGCTCAATTTAGTAAAGAAAAAGATGCGATTTCAGTCTTGATTTGAATGTGCCTAAAGTTGTGCCTAATTTATTAAAAAATCTGTTTGTTTCATCATTTCACTTTCAGATGAGAAAATATTCAATATTTCATGCTGAAATAAGCATGCATGTGCATGTTTATCAATACAATTCAGTACTAAAACAGTGTGATAAGGGCAGAAGGTTCAATATAGTTTAGATTTTTTCAACAATATGTTTTGCTGTTGACATCTTAATGCACTGAATACAGGCCCATAGCCAGGGTGAACTCGGGTGGTTTGAAAGACCCACCCCTCACTGACAAAGGTCCAAAATTTGTCCAATACTTCAGCACATTTGTCCTATTTTGACTGCTATGCCAACATTGTGAAAATACATTAATTCATTTTCTTTTCGGCTTATTAGTCCCTTTATTAATCTGGGGTCGCCACAGCGGAATGAACCGCCAAATTATACAGCATATGTTTTACTCAGTGGATGGCCTTCCAGCTGCAATCCATCACTGGGCAACATCCATACACATGCATACACAATGAACAATTTAGCCGTAGTGTCTCCAAACAGAAACGATAACTGACCCAGCCGGGGCTCGAACAAGCGACCTTCTTGCTGTGAGGAGATTGTGCTACCCACTGTGCCCCTGTGCTGCCCTAAATTGTGAAAATAACTCATTGAAAAACTCTTCAAGACCAAGCGGAATCCTCTGTTGGCTGTCGCTTAGGTGTGATTTCAGCTAATTCGTTTTGTCCAATGAAACAATTATTTTTCATGAGTCCAACATATAACTGTGCAAAAAAACATAAGAGTCGGACATAAGTGAAGTCATCTTTCGCTACTGACCTACTGTATTGTTGTATTGTATAAATTAACTTTTACTCTAAATCTTGGAGCTTATTCTTGAAACAAAAAATGACCAATAAAAAAGTGTGAAGCACCAAAAGTGGCCCATTTTAAAATTAATTTGAATTCTAATTTGGACACTGTTGTTATACATAAATTGTCGAACATACTTTTTTACAAGAGAGGCTAAAAAAGTCGTGCATTTCCACATTTATTATTATTATTATTATTATTGTTGTTGTTATTATTATTATTATGTTTTTATTATTCAAAGGGCTAAATTCTGACTGAGAAAAGTTGAATGTGCTGGCTAGTTTGTTATTTGCCTAACAAATGACAATAGACTACAGTTTTTAAATTAAAATTGAACAAATTCCTATTTTTTCCCTAATTAAAATATTATGTATGTTTAATTTTTATTTTTATATTTCTTTAATCTAAACTTTTAGGAATGTTTTGGTACATCAAAAAGTTTGGTTATGACGACCATCTGACAAGCTAATACAGCTAAAAATAATGCTTAAAATGTTACTAAAATGGAGTATTAAATCTCATAATTAAATAGAAAATGAGGCGAAAACATTTTGAGAAAAAAGAACCACCTCTTTCACTAGGCTGGCTACGGGCCTGGAATACATATATAAATGCCCAAAATGATTCAAACAAACAAACAAAAAAAAATAAAATATTGTTTTTACGAACGGTTTTACCTCTTAAAACATACTTAAAACATAACATTTACGAAAAGGTGAGGCTCTTAAAATAATCTGAAAGTGTTTGCTTGCTACAAACCATGCATATTAAAGAAATTGATGCATGTATGAAAGTCCATTATAAGGGTTTAGAGTACATAAGGGAAAGGCAGGCCAATAGTGGCAGGTGCACCATTAGTGATAATGGGTTTGCTGTAACCAAGCATTACCAGACAACAAGCACCTCCATGGGGATGTATTCATCAACCAACTTAATGCAGCAACTTCATTACACCGCATTTACTCAAATATGCCATTTAACACATGCCGTGCGCACTCTTACCTGCATGCATCCAGTTTGTTTTTGTAAGTAACAGGCCTCTTAAGGACAGGTGAACAACCACTGCATTCTGAGCATTGTGCGCACACTGATTTACATAGCAGATCTGTCAACAAAGACACACACACAGGAGGTATTTAGTGGCCTCGTTGTTATCAGTGTATATCAGGTTTTAATTCATTACACCGGCCACAACCAAAAGCAGTGACTGATCTTCATGACAACAGTCACAGGCTCCTAGCTGTTGCCCTGGCGACTGTTCGGGACAGAAGGCAGATAGACAGATCGCCACCATCCCCCTTCCATTGTATATAAACACGCATACACACACACATGCACGTTTATATGTTATGTGTATGGGAGTTTATGTGATGTGCTTTATCTAATATATGTGTTTAGAAAGAGCATCTGTACTGTGAAGTTGTCTGCATTTGAGAAGGGCGCACATGGATAACGATATGCATTTTCTTTGATTAGATGCACTTTCATTGATTGGCATGTCAGTATTTTTTGTATATTATTGATTTGTGAAACGCTGCAAAAAGGAAATGGCTTTTAAGTTTGATTGTCTTGTTTTTGTGGAGCAAATATTTAATATTTTTAGGTGAAGATCTATTTAATTGATAAGAAATATATATATATATATATATATATATATAATGTGTTCTGATAAATTAATTTATGTTGTGGTGAGTTTATGCTTAAGTAAAAGTCTTTAAAGTAAAAAAATCTATATTTTTAACTGAATTAAGTTTATTTTTCACTATTTGTCTTGTTTTAAGCATAAAAACGCACATTATTTTGAGATTTTTTGTTAAATAAGATACACTATTTTATCTATTTAAGCAAATGTTGTTGAAGAAAGTCATGGAGAACTATTGCATTCATATTTGTTATTTATTCATGTTTTTTTACTATTTATTTACACAAATGATTACTGCAGGGTAAAGTAAACCTTGACAGGGATGCAGGAAACACTATTATAAGTCAAAAAGTAAAATACATTGAAATATTGAACTTAAATAATATTATGCTTTTTAATTTCTGGTTCATGAAAAGTTAATAAACACCACCATATTTTTTTGTTGTTGATGTAAAAGTAAATGAAAATGTGAATGTGTGTGTTTTTTGAGATATGTTGAATAGCACTAACATACAAAAACAACAAAAACTTCCCTGAAAAGTGCATTAAATGCACATGTAGTGTCCTATAATTGAAAAAAGCCTTATAACATAATAAATTAAATATATTATATAACTATGTGGATGAAAAAATGCTTCATCCTCATTCAGCATAGCAGACATATTGATGCAAAAAATCAGACTAAGTAATTAAGCTATATTTTGAGTAGCAGTAACATTACAGAATGCAAAACCGTTCTACATCTACATATTCTAAACTGTGCACACTACACTAACTATGTGTATCTGCATGTGGGTTTCAGACAGACTACTACTTTGAGTACACAGAGTGTGACAGCACAGGCTCCAGATGGAGAGTCGCCATTCCTCACAGACAGGAGAGCTGCACGGGCCTACCAGAGCCGGTCAGAGGCACAGACTGCAGTAAGACAAAACACACATACACAGTCTTCATCAAAATACACTGTATACATCAAGTGGAATTTAACTGTAAAGAAAGGTTGTTCAGGCGCAATTTTTTCCTGCTCTAAATAAAGTGTTTGTGGATATTATTGGTAGAACATGTTGATGGCTCGAAGAGTAGTTGTCTGCATTAAACAATTTCATTTACAATGCATATTAAATACAGCCTGTACTTATGTAAAATTGAAACTGCATATTCCTCAAACTTTTAAATGAAAAAACATTTTGCTGACAAATATAAATATCTTATTGGTCTGAAGAATAGTGGAAGTGTAAAGCCTTTAAATGACAACTAATTAGTATTTCGGGGCTGCAGTGTAATCCACATTATTTCTTTGATATTTTAACTTATTACAATGAATGACTTTTTATTTGATGACTTTTACTTGTTTAAAGTATGATAAAAAGTATGATGGTCATTACTTTGTTTTTAAATAATAATTAAGGGATATATTTTAATGTATGGGAGGAAAACAATGTATGCCTGTTACTGTTTGAGGATTGAAACGCCTTTTTATTTTTAACCCTTATAATTTACTGACTTCTTAACTTTGCAAAAACAAAATCACTGAAAAACAATGAAAGCAGGTTATTTTAAGTAACTTCGAAAATAGATCACGAGTATGCTTTGAGAAAGCTCAAGCAGCCTTTCCTTGGCTCTATATTTTGTTATCAAAAGCAACAACATTCATTACATTCAAAAGTGCCCAAATGCTTTTGCTACTCGGCTATTATCCAAGCTAACAATAATATGCTTTCCAAATGTTTTGCTAGCACTTACATTAAGTTATAAAAACATTGTTTCTGAATGTTCTCACGTCTTTCAAAACATCCAATAAGTTATACTATACAATACATAAGTAATGCTATACATTTTATCATTATTTAGGGGAGCGTTACTACTGAATGTCCTCAAAACCATATAAGGCAGTGAGTAGTAATGTATAAAATAAAACACATTAGACTAACAATTTATAAAAAATTTAATTGTGCTAATGTGCCGATAATGTTATTAAAGACCAATTAACTGAATGAGCAATTGATTAACGCTACTGAAACGTCAGAGAGTGTTCTCTGTATGCAAACACAACCTGTTTTTACTTGTCGTGCAGCTTTTTCATGTGAAGCGGGAGAGTTTTTAGAGATGTCCTCTCAGCAGTGCATATCCTGTGCGGCTGGCTCTTATTCGCTGGGCAGCGGTGTGCGTTTCGACCAATGGGACTCAATTCCTGCGGGATTCAGCAGTCTGGCCACATACATGGACTCAGGAGGGTCAGGGGACGAATCAATGACCTGCAACAAGTCAGTAACAGCAGACTTACAAACTTAACATTCTGTTCCCGAAGATTTGGAATGCATCTACAGTAGGGCTGCACGATATTGGTAAAATCTGATATTGCAATATTTTAATATTGCTATGATAAATATTGCCATATGAATGTAGTTTCAAAAGATGGTGTGAAAAGCTCTATTTGACGGTAGCAGTATTTAGGTAGAGAAATTGAATACTCACAAATGCTTCTCTTACTTTGCTTTCTCTAGTTTCTCGTACAAATATCCAGAAATTCTTAGATCAAATAAAAATATTGTTTTGTTTTCCTTTAGAGGATATAAGGCTAAATTAGAAGTTTTCCTTACAAGCTAAATTAGCTGCCAATGGATTAAGTAAATAATCTTATTTTGCTTTAAAATGTAGATATTTGGACTAGAAACAAGACAAAAATCTAAGTAAGAAAAACATGTTTTCTGCATAAACAGTATACATAATTAATTACAATTAATGTTTGTTACACCTTCAAACTACATCATTTTATGTGCCCAACTGTTTTAAACTCTCTTGAAATGCTCAGTCACAGGCCTTAAAAACACATGCAAATGACAAGCTTTCAATCTATTATGGTTAAACTTAGCAGTGACTCTACAAACTACGTGCTCTGTGGTTCCTGGTCAAATATGATTCAGACTCAACAATGCATATCCTATTGCAGATGTGTACATTGCACATATCAATGCTGAAACGATATACTGTACAGTCCTAATCTACAGATCTGGATCTACCCATTCACACTGTGCTGTTCAATTGCAGTTCCTCATGGACAGCTCAGGGAACTCACTTGGAGTCCAACCGTGACGACTGCACAGTATCTCTAGTGTACGCGGTGCATCTCATGAAGCAGGGCTCCGTCTCCTTTGACTATCAATACGTCGACAGCAACGTCTTCTTTGAATTCTTTGTGAGTTTTAGCTGATGCATCTTTTCGTTTTCTCTACCTAAATGAGAATATATATGTGAAAGTAACATTTTACCACTGGTACAGATTCAGAACGACCAGTGTCAGGAGATGGACCAGCAAGGGAGCGAGAAATGGATCAAACTCACCACAAGTGGAGAGTGGGGAACCCATACGGTTGGTGATCTGAGATGCTTTCATTTATATTCAAAGCTGCTGAACACAAAAAGAAGATATTTTGTAGAATGTTATAAGGGATAGTAACTCCATAAGTTACTCACTATTTATAGCAACCCAAGAACATTCACTTACTATTTAAAGTAACCCAAAAACATTTACTTACTATTTAATTTCCCTTTAGTGGTTTCAAAACTCTCAAAATGAGTTTCTTTTTTTCCTAAATTAAAAAAGTAACTTAAAAAAATGTCTGAAACTGATGAAAAGTTAATGTTGAGTAAATAAAGACAATTTTCAGTTTTGGGTGAACTATCCCTTTCATAAACACAAGTTCTGTTTCCATTGACTTCTATATATATTTTTTGTTCATACAATGAAAGAAAATATAATAAACAAAACCGGTTTAATGGCCAACATTCTTTTAAATATCTACTTTTGAAAGTAATGCATACATGTTTGGAAAGACATGATCACAAGAGTGCACTGCAGTCTAACATAGCTGTTTTTATACATCGCAGGTCAACTTAAAGTCAGGAACTAATATTTTATACTGGAGAACCACAGGAATGCTCTTGGGTGGGAAACCAGTGAAGCCGGTCCTTTTGAAGAACATCCAGATTGAAGGTATGGGATTCTCACAACCTTCTTTATGATAAATAATTCACAGTTAACCAATAATATCTTCCATTTAAAACATGCAAATGTTTATTATAAATGTTGTTCTCGTAATAGTTAATTAAATGCTTTATAAGAAATGTTTTTATTCTTGTTATCTGAATGTTATAGATCTAGTGAAATTAAAGTTTTTTAGATGTTAGTATCAGTATGTTAGTTTTAAGAATATCTACAAGTCAGTGTACTCCAAAACTGTGACAAAATTCATAGTAAAATTCATTATAAACATCTAAAACTTGCAGTTTGTCACTCACTTACACCTAAATGGATCAAGTTTTTTTTGCAGGTCCCCTCATACTTCAGTTTCTTATCAAATCTTAATCAATCAAATGCTCTCTATTATCTGACATGCCCCGCCCCCTTCAAAACACTACTTATTTGCTTTACATTTGATGTGCTTGAACTCAATCACTCTCACTGGCAGAGTTGTGATAAAACAAAATGCTACTGTCTGTTTTTCTAAAAGGGGAGGGGCTACTTGATGTCCCGCCCTCTCTTTGTATATCAGTTGAGATTACGTCAAACATTGACTAAAAAAATGCACATTTCAAAGCACTTCATGGGACTTTTAAGGAAACCTTTCAATTTGCTTGGAAAGATACTTCTGTACATACTCTGAACATTTGAATCATTCATTCATACCAACATTATTAAATACCAGACAATTCTGAACAAACATTCAATTTGTGTTACTTTAACAACATTTGTTTATGAGAAAATGACCTGAAATAACAGTGTTGCCTGCACAATCTGTTGTGCTGTTTCTGGATCGTATTACATTGCACTAATGTTTTTATTCATCTGATTTGTACCTGTGTTTTGTGAGCAGGTGTGGCGTACACGTCAGAGTGTTTTCCATGCAGGCCGGGCACCTTCAGTAAAACTCCAGGCTCCTCCTCGTGCGACCTTTGCTCCAGGAATACTTATTCTGGAAAGGGAGCCAGTTCATGTACACACTGCACCGAGTCACAATATTCACGTATGAATTCACCAAAAATATGATCTAAATATTTCTCATGTTTCTTTACTGAAACAACTTTTGGGTACACATGTGAATAATGTTTCTCTACCCATGTGTGTGTCCTAGAGGAGGGATGGTCGCAGTGTAAAGAAAGGCCTCCTTGTTCAGAGAAAGACTATTTTCAAATCCACACAGCCTGTGATAGTGAAGGCAAGGTAGGATATGATGGGTAATGTGTTTTGTTCTAAACCTTGTCTGAATATATCGATAATGGTTAATATTTCTAATCATTTCAGACCCAGATACTGTACAGGTGGGTGGAGCCTCAGGTGTGTTTGGAGAATGTGACCGGTGCTGTGAAACTGCCCCCTTCTGGAGAGAAAGAGGACTGTCCACCCTGTAATCCAGGCTTCTACATGCACAACTCTTCCACCTGTTTACCTTGCCCTCAAGGGACCTATTCTGATGGCACCACAGGTATTTACACACAAAGATACCTTGGATACATACTCAAGTCAGACAGTTTCTGTGTGTAACAGGGCAGGATTTATTTTGGGCACAGAATGTCAAAGATGTCCTGGTGGAACCGAACCGTCTTTAGGATATGAATACAAGTGGTGGAACGTCCTGCCGAGGAACATGAAAACATCGTGTTTTAATGTGGGCAATTCCAAATGTGATGAAATGAATGGTAAGAGCATATATATTTCTATAAATGCACATACACAGCAATGGAAAACATTAAGAGACTACTTGAAATTTCTCAGATCTTTAGTTTTGTGGATAAAGAAATATATATTTAGTAGAATAAAACACGTTTTTTATTCAATTCATTATTCAATTGTATTTCACAATAAATACTATTCCTAAGCAGCTTTACAAAAGGTGTGCATTATTACATTACAACCAAATTAGTGAAAAATTAAAATGATAAAAAGGGATATGTTAAGGTGTGTGTACGATGAACAGTACAGCTATCATGCATATATAGTTAGTTATATAATATAATGTACTATTGTTATTATATTCTTTTATTTTAATCACAACAAAATAAAAATAAAAATCTGACCGACAGTCATTTTGTGGGAAAAAACAGCTCTAAATGACAATATTTGTATTTGAAATTAGGGAGAAATGTTATTAAACAATAAATATTAATATTTAAAGGTGCAGTAGGTGTTCTGCCAAAATTCTAACCGCTTAGCATATTATCTTTGGACAGCGGGGAGAGACTGTGATTCATAGCCACGCCTCCTGAAATTGCAAACATGCGCACTGCTCAACCAACACAATCTCACGGCAATTCGTAACTTTTTCATTTAGTGGCTAATTCGTATGAATTCGTACGATCTAATTCGTACAATTTAGTACGATTTGCTCATCCCCCAATGACGGTTGGGGTTAGGGGTGGGGTCAGGTGCCACGCCTCCTTTTTAAAATCGTACCATTTCGTACGACTGAACTCGTACGAATTCGTACGAATTAGCCACTAAACTGGCAAAACGTAAAATACTTACGTTTTCTCGTGAGATCAGGCTGGCTCAACACAGCAGACCACCCATTAGTTCATGTCATCCACCAGTTAGTTGGTGTTTGGCCGGCAGCGTGCAGGAATTACATTTATTACTAAGCCACACGCTATTTCAGAGCGAATATTCAGAGTAGCATGGTAAACAGTATAGGAAGGCTGTCATTGTTCAAAAATTAACCAATGTGAATATAAAAGCAACTTCAGCTCAATAAAGCCGATTAGGTGGAATAGCGATATTTACTGATGTTTCGTTGTTAACCTAATTAAAAATCTACATCATCGATACTGTCAAAGGTCCCTTATGAAACTGAAAATCTATCTTTCGCCTGGAGATTTCAGTGACTGAACAACACGTCTATGCATATAAGCAATTTATAACAACTAAATCTAACATGAGCTAAGCCTGATAAAATAGTTTAGAACAGTACCTGTCTAACAGTAATACTTCGGCTCTGGTGTCGTACTTCCTCCAGCGTGCAAAAGTAACTCCAATATTGATTCAAGATTTTTAAAAGTTTCAATTCAGCATTTGATTTCACCGCGTCTGTGATTGTCTTGTGAACGCGCATGCAGGAGGACACGCATGAATGGCGGATCTGCGTGAACAGATGCGCAGAAGTCTGAATCTACATTTGCTGACAGACAGTTTGAGCTGCTTATCGGAATTATGGGAGATGTAGGCCTGACAATATTTAACTGGATGAACATTTTTTCGTTTTATGTCTTACCCCAAATATAAAAATTCATATGAATACATTTAGATCACTTACTTTAATCATTACTATAGGACTGTGAGGAGACTTTTAACCAGCACAACAAAAAATGTTTCTGAAGACAATCACCTACTGCACCCTAAACTCAAACTCTCATCTAAAAAATCCAGAGAAACTGAGACAGTGGTCTCATAATTTTGTCCAAAGCTGCATATGCAATCAATTATTTCAGATCAAATGAAATGTACAGACATAAGTCATGCCATTGAAGCGAATGATCAGACTTGCTTCTGTAGGTTGGGAGGTGGCTGGTGACCACATTCGCAGTGGAGTGGGTGGCTCAGATAATGATTACCTCATCTTAAATCTACGAGTGCCTGGATTCAAGTAAGTGAGGACTACAATTGCTGTACGGAGATGTTAGTTGTACACAGACCATTTGCAGATTCCCTCTCTGTTCATCTCTCGCAGACTTCCAACTTCTGTCGACGATGCTTCAGCTACTGAATTCGGCCGGATCACGTTTATCTTCGAGACCAACTGCAGCGCAGACTGCGAACTCTATTTTATGATAGTAAGAGTTGATCAGTGTGTTAAACGGAATGTTGTACAATATGTTAAGAGGATAGTTCACCCACAAATTAAAATACATTTACTCACATTTCACTTGTTTTCTTATCTGTTTGAGTTACTTTCTACTGATGTACACAAAAGGAGATATTTGGAAGAATGTTGAAAAGCAGCAGCCATTGGCTTAAATAGTATGTTTTGTTCCTACTACGGATGTCAAAAGCTGTTCCCAAAATTATTCAGAATGACTTGTTTTGTGTTCAACAGAAGAAAGAAATACATAAAGGTTTAGAGCCACTTCAGTGAGAGTAGATGGCGAGGACATTTTCATTTTTGGGTGAACTATCCCTTTAAACAGTTGTCACATGAACTCATTAAATAATTTTATTTCTTAGTTATGTGTAACATTTTGCAAACATTGATGGGATGTTACTTTTGATTGTTCCCTGAAAGTTCGGAAATTAGTAGTCAATTTTAAGTAATGTTAAATTAACATTCAACTAAGACCATGTTACCATGTATTTGAGACTGGATTGAGGAAAATAATACCAGGCCCTACATTTTTAAAGACATTGTCTTTGCAGGAAACTTTTAAGAATATTAATAAAGACCATATGAAATTAGTTATATGACATTAAAATTATAATTATTACTAAATTAGTGCATTTTATTCTAGAGCAGGGGTGTCCAAACTCAATCCTAGAGGGCTGGTGTCCTGCTGAGTTTAGCTCCAAGTTGCTTTAACACACCTGCAAGGACGTTTCTAGTATATCTAGTAAGAGCTTGATTACCTGGTTCAGATGTGTTTGATTAGGGTTGGAGCTAAACTCTCCAGGACACTAGCCCTCCAGGGCTAAGTTTGGACACCCCTGTTCTTAAGTCATGTTAGTTCATGAATTTTAAAGAGATTTTCTAAAACATTTCCCTAAATTCTGAGAATATTCCCTGTTAGTTGCATATGTAATTAATTTAGTGACTGGAAAAATAATAATGACTTAATCTGGAAGCTATTAACCAAATCAATGTGTTTTCTCCTCAGGATGTAAACAGGAAGAGCACAAACGTTGTGGAATCATGGGTAGGAAATATAGTCAGACGAGCGTACACCCACATCATGACTAAAAATGCTTCGGTTTCCTACACATGGGCTTTCCAACGTACCAACAAAGCCACTGATGTAAGTATTAACCTGAATAAAAAATTTTAAGTACCTTCTTGTTGCACTGATAATGTTTTCTCCCAGGTGCGTCAGTATGTGAATGACATCGCAAAGATCTACTCGATCACGGTGACTAATGCGATGGATGGTTCAGCGTCTGGTTGCCATGCTTGTGCAATGATGAGTCAGCAGGACGGCTCTTCCTGCGTCCCCTGTCCTGCTGGACACTTCATCAACAAAGACACCAACCAGTGCCAGGAGTGCCCGCCAAACACATTCCTCTACGGGCATCACATTTACGGGCACGAGGCCTGTCAGCCATGTGGTCCTGGAAGCAAGAGCAATAAGGTATGAGTAAAACAACAGGAAATGCATGGCAATAATCAGAGGTTTCTTCCACATTTATATAATGCATAACATCTTAAAAATGCATTTATATTTGATTGAGGCCAATAATAATTTATATGATAGTAAGACTGAAAAAAATACTAAATACTGTTAAAAGCTATGAGTTATTATTTAATTATTTAAAGTAATTAGTAACCAATAAAATTATGATAACTAATAACTTTTCTGATTTTGATTTCAACATAGTATAACATGTAAAATGTGTGTTTTGTGTGTATCCAGGAGCACTCTGTGTGTTTTAATGACTGCACCTTCTCACACATGGATCAGAACCGAACGTTGAACTATGACTTGAGTGCCTTAAGTTCAGTTGGATCAATCATGAATGGGCCTAGTTTCACCTCCAAGGGAACTAAATATTACCACCAATTTAATATCAGTCTGTGTGGGGCTGAGGTAAGCTCACATGCATCCATCTCTATCTTTAGACTGCTAATATTAGATTGCTTTAATAGGAATTAGAAATAGAAACAGCAGATTTTTTTTAGCTTTTAAGAAATCATTTTACTCTCGCTGTTATGCAGGGGAGGAAGGTGGCAGTGTGCACTGATAACGTCACAGATATGTCCAGCAAGGACCTTCAGAATGAATCCGCTGACCTCAACAATTTTGTCGAGACTTTTGTGTGCCAATCGACCATCATCCCTGCAGATGGACGCGGCTTCAGATCAGCACTGTCATCTCAGTCCATCAGCCTGGCTGACACTTTTCTCGGTGAGCTGTTGTGAGAGAAAATTGGTAATCGATTGTATATGCTTTTGCTGAATCACTCTTTTCACACTAATTTAATTCACTGTATTTTTGAAACATTCATGCTAGGGCTGCATGATATTGGGAAAATATGACATTGCGATATCTTGTTTTTCGAAAAGGTTTTACCAGTTAACTTGAATAGCTAAAGAAAATAATAATAATTCTTTGATTTAGACAGATTGTGATGATTTTGTAGAGAGAGAATCGTGCATTGAATATAATAAACAAATTAAAAGCATAGGTAAATACAATAAAGCAAAGATAAAAGTGAAATAAACAGCACTTTATGGTTTTCTGGGGAGTCTAAAAGTATTCAGCTACAGAATTTAAATTATTAAAAGTAAAAAGAGCACAGTACTTTTCCATTGGATAAATAATTCAATAATGAAATGGTACAAATGGTACAGTTTCCTGTGCCTGAATGTTCACACAGTGACAGGCCATAAAAACACATGCAAATTATACACTTTCACTCCATCATGGTTAAACTCTGCAGTGACTCCACAAATATCAAGTGTTCTGAACTGTGGCTTCTGGTCAACCATAATCCTAACATATACATTCAACATTGCAGTATCGATGCTAAAACAATATATTGTGCAATCCTAGTTCATGCTCAGTAATGTATCTGGTGAAGAAAAACAACATTACCCATGATGCTATACAGAAAATTCAACCAATCAAAGTATTTCGAGAGCAATGTGTGCCAAAAGAGAACTTCATTTGTTTACCTCCATTAAGTTTTCTGTCATGCAAAGGCAACATGCAGGAACTTTGTGCTCAATTGAAAATGAGTTATTGATATTTTTGGGATACTTAAGACATATAACATATAACATACATGTTACTTTATAACATAGATATTTATCTTGAGTCAATCTTGTGTTTAAATAATTGTTATGCTTCTAATATCCTGACTAAAAATAATTTGGCTGAATAACAAATTGTTTAAAGTAATTTTCTTCCACATTCTGCAGAGAGCTAAAGTATTTTGCCTTTATAGGGTAGTGTTAAAATTGATACGAAATTTAATATATGTATATTTTACAATAAAGTTAAAAATATCTTGTTGACATAACAAACCTTAAACTAGTCGTTCTATATTTTGATATCATTTCTTTTCTTTCTTTCATTTGCAATTCTCCATGGGATTGCATTTTCGGTAACACTTTATAATAACTACACACTATGAACCATTTATTAAGCATAAGCAAATAGTGAATTCTTTTTTTGTTAAGCATTAACTCTACATTAATAAACGTTATTAAGCAGTTTATAACTGCAGCTATAAATGCTGTATTCTTGCTTTATAAATCCCTTATAAATGACAATTAAAGGCTCGGTATCAAATGAACAATAATCATTGCAATCTTATCTAAAAAGTAAATTTACTGTAAATATTAAACATCGCTGAATAACAGAAGTGTCAAAATACAACATAAAGTTGTATAAAACAAAAACAATAAAATAATTGAACAATATAAAAAGATGCAATGTTTAAACTCTACAGTAATTTTATTTTACATCAGGTTGCACAGATTTACTTTTCATTTAATACAGTTTCATTTGTGTATCATTAAATGAATAGAAACAAATGTTTTTTATTTACTTTTTCCTTTATAGAATTCAACTGACTCTTTAATTGTCATTTATAAGGCTTTTATAAAGCATGAATAGTCCTCACTTTAGATTAGGTCAAAATAAAGCATTTATTAACATATAAGTTAACTATTAGTATATGCCTTAATAATAAGATATATAAATGTTGATTTCAATAGTTTATTAATCATTTACTAACTCATTCTGAATGATCTTTAAAAAACACCAACTATGCTTAAATAACTGGTTAGTAAATAATGCAATACTTCCATTTAGTAATGAAAAATAAATCGATTACAAAGTATAAAAGTGCAATTATTATGCACATTATAAATGTGGTTATAGGTCAAGAATACAGCATTTATAGCTGCAGTTATAAACTGCTTACTAATGCTTATTAATGTAGAGTTAAATGCTTAACAAATAATGAATTCAACATTTGCTTATGCTTAATAAATCATTCATAGTGTGTAGTTATTATAAAGTGTTACCGCATTTTCTTCTCTCGTAAATCTGTTATCTGTTAATCTGTTTGTCAAATACCTCTGTGCTTTAAATGAAAGTCTGTAACACGATTCACTCTGTAGCTGCTTTTGGTTGATTGGTTTTGGTTGATTTGGTTTTACATCCTAAATAAAACTGAATAGAAAAATACTCACAGCTCCTAAAAAAAAGTAGGCAGACACTAATGTAATTTGATGTCAGCGTGTAATCTTGTTTTTGCTTAGAGATCAGCGTCAATGCCTTTTTCACGGTGCAACCCTTAACCTGTAAGAATCTGCAATGAAGGCTGTTTTAGTAAATAACATTTTTATGTTGCAGTTGTTATTGCTTACTGGTGTCTCCTTTCTCAGGAGCGTCTGTTGAAAGCAGTCTGGATGGGGTCACTGTAAACTCAGACCTCTTCCTCAAGTCTTCGCAGAAAGTTCCAGATATCAACTTCTTCTATCGGTAAATAAAGATTGAAATGATTAGTGCATGTATGCAATGATTTACATATGTAACACAAAGTTTTTTTTTTCTCTTAGCTCACCGCAGCCCACAGCATCTTGTCTGAATGGCCGTAGCACAGTCGTGACTCTGCACTGTAGTCCTGAAAAAAGTGCACGTGGAGAGCTCACTGTGCCAATGTGAGTTTGATGTTTACTCACAGTATTAATAATAGTTTTTTTATTTGATGTAATCATTTGCAATTCGTTTTTTTAACGGATTAAAATGAGCATAGCGGAATATCTCAGTAAATGGGGAAATGCATTCTTATTGTAATTCACTTAGGAATAAATCCAGCAAAAGTCATATGCAAGCTTTGTGTAGGGTGATTTATCTTTGGCGCTCAGGAGCTGAAATATCACCCATTAATATATATGCTAATACAAGTATCAGATGAGGTTTGCAGGCCAAGTGCAAATATGCAATGAATATTGAATTTTTGCAGATTTGCTATTTGTTCGGTGCAATGTGAGAAATGTTAATTCTGTTAACATGGAGTTGGGTTAAGAATAAACAAAAGTGCATACTTCTGCTTAAACAACGCATGTCAAAAGTTGGCAGAGCATTTGATTAAATTTACAAGCTTTTGTCTATAAGAAAAAGACAATGCAGTGTGTTTGTTAATGATGAAAGGATCATCTTAATTACTCATGTCATTGTCATTAATCCTACAAAAATTTTCAATTCTATTTGAAATAAATAAACCCTTTTGAACCTTTTAATCCATGTTTGACATGAATACATCAGCCAAAGTGCAAGCACAAAAACATCCTAAAAATAATAAATATATATTTGTCAATATCACACACCACAATATAACATTTAAAATAACATTTATTTTATTCTTGTTTTCTAACAATCCTACGAAATTTCAAATAAAATGGTAATTTAGTGCATTTGCATTTATTTGCAATTTGTCAAAATCTTAAATGTGAACTACAGGGTTATTCCAACAAATATACATTTATTGACATATACATTATTATTAATATGTTGTTTATTTCTCTAAACAACACATCTTGTATTATGTTATGCTTAAAAATACCTTTCACTCATACACACAACTATAAGTGGAGTTTTATAAAGGAATTAACTTGCTAATATAGGTTCAGCGACGGATCCACGCCTCATTTTGTCTCCTTAACCAATCACCTACTCTCTTAAACTTATTTAAGGAAGACTACCCCTCTAGCACTGTTCTTCTCGTTCTTCGAACCCACCCTTCCTCCATCCATTTCCTCGCTTCCCATTCACAATCCTAGAACCCTCTTCACTCCTAATGTAGGTTGAATCGGGGGGGTCCAATCACTTTGCCAAACTATTACAGAAACAGTACCCCCACTCTGAGTCTCTGGGCATAGTAGGACGCCCGGTCAACCTACCCACCTGTTTACCAGTCATCCTCTTACTCCCCTTCCCCTTCATCCCACTGTTCTTCTACCATGCCTTTCATCCCAACAGTAAAGTCTAGCTTAAAGTGTGGCGTGGGCCATGCTGGTGAAAACTGATTTCAAGAGTGCTATGATTGATCGTGGCTGGTCCCGCATCACAATCAATGTTAAGCCAATCAGGTGAATCCTAGCCTCCAATAAATAGCCCAGTTTGTTTCACTTCCAGTATCTTTGTTTTTTAAGAACTGGAACCCTCTTCCTGTTCTCGGTCCCCCTTCTATGCTATACGAGCAGGCGGGAGCCCTGGGTTCAAGTCTCTGTGAGCCCAGGGTTCTCTCCCGGGACAGCATGCCAAACCTGCATTCACTATCAAGTAATAGTGTAAAGCTAACTACTCTTGAAACCACAAATAAAGAAAAATGTTATCATTTTGCTTCTATAGCTCTATACATCTATAATTTAATCACAGTTAAATAATAAACTATTTGTGTTATGTCTTGTTACATAAAATAAATCACATTGAATGTTAAGCAATCTGTCTGAAGAAGAAAAAAAATCTGTCAATTTAAAACTTTTACATTTTTTGGTGATGTTTTTGTCTTTGTGTGCTCTATAGCAAGTGCCCAGCAGGTACGTGCAATGGTTGTGAGTTTCACTTCCTCTGGGAAAGCTCTAGTGCTTGTCCGCTTTGCACAGAAGCTGACTACCACTCAATAGAAGGAGCGTGCAAAGGAGGACAGCAGGTAAATCTCACTCTACTAATGCATTAAGTACAGTTTATTCGATGCCTGTCTGACCTTCATTCAATTTTCTGCCAACAGGACACACTGTATGTCTGGAACGAACCAAAACTCTGCACTAAGGGAGTAGCGCTGCCAAACAAAAGCTCCGCCCACTGCGAGGTGGTCAGCCTATGGGTCAAGGCCGGTATTGGAGGCGGAGCCTTCATGGCTGTCCTCTTAGTTTCTCTTACATGCTATTTCTGGAAAAAGAACAAGAGGTAATAATAATAATAACAGTAATCTGTCAACGTAAGTTCAGATATTTTAAATGTATGACCTGTTTTCTTGTTTTGTTTTTGGTGCAGGCTTGAATATAAATACTCCAGACTAGTGATGTCCGCCAATAAGGACTGTGAGTTGCCAGCAGCAGACAGCTGTGCACTAGCAGAAGGAGAAGGGGAGGAGAACGAGGATGATGTGGTTTACTCAAATACGCCTTCGTTACTGGGTAAACTGAAAGCCATCGCGAGCAAGGTCAGTGACTTGGTGAGAGCTTGAATCTTTACCAGAATTTGAAAGCAACAAACTTATAGAGTGCTTGATATGTTAAATTAATTGCACTTCAATGTGCAGATATCATATACAGTTGAAGGCAAAATTATTACCCTTTCTGTGAAGTTTAAATTATTTAAAAAATATTCCTCTTAAGATTAAGATTTTTCTGACACATTTTTAACCATTATAATTTTAATAACTGATTTTCTTTGTCTTTGCCAGGATGACAGTATATAATATTTTACTAGGTATTTTGCAAAATACTATAATTCAGCTTAAAGTGCAATTAAAAGGCTTAACTATGTTAACTAGGCAAGTTGTATTAATTAGGCAAGGCATTAGAGTTTGTTCTGTAGACAAGAAAATAATAATTTCCTATGGGAACTATATATAAATATTTTTAAAATTGTATTAAACATTTAAAAACTGCTTTTATTCCAGTAAAGCTAAAAGAAAATAAGACTTTATTCATAAGGAAAAATATTATAGGAAATACTGTGAAAGCTTCCTTGCTGTTAAACAGCCCTTCTATTCAAAGCAGGTAAAATAAGTATTCAACGGGTCACCGTCATTTTCTAAAGGTGCTGTTGACTTGAAATTTTTACCAGATGTTGGTGAAAACAAAAATAATCTATGAAATTTACAGTGCACGTTTGCTATGTTGATATCACAGTCATACCATGATTTAGTGTTTTGTGAGCATGTCCTAGCTGACAGGTTCTACAGACAGATATAGAGATTAACAGATATATAATAACAGGACAAAATGAAAAGCACGGCATTAATAAATAAAGAACGGCTACCTCTGTGATTTTATATTGAGAGATGATACAAAGATATTACTTCATGTCTGGTTCTTGTTTTCATACAAGACTGTGTTATTTACCTTTGTTTGTCTGCAGGCAGATGGAGATAACAGTGAGTCAGTGCAGCTGAAGTCATCTCAGTCAGAGCGGTGGGTTTGGGGATAACAGAAATAAGAAGACCACCGCTGATAGATAGAGAGACAAACAACTCACAGAGCTTTTAGTGCTTTGACTCTCCTTTTTCAGTTTGTCATTATTCACAGCCGTCCCTCATCTCAGAACATATCTCAACGACAAAAAATAGTGAAGGAGCACGAAATCTCTCTGTAAAACTTAACTGTATGTGTATCATATATACACTGTTAGAACATTTCAGAAACACTTACTCACACTCAGCGAATAGAAATGCCACCCACAGATACGTCTATCCGAGACACATTTAAGTAATGTTTTGTGAAATGCTGCAAAAGTGAGCCTGAAAATAAGAGTGGAAGAGTTTGTTTGAAAGAGTTGTTTCATTTTAAAAGCCCATCCCCCCTGCTTGCTCATTCATGCACATATTTCTAGAATTTGGCCAACAGGTGGAGACAGAGAGCCTTGCCGACTTCTTTAGAGAGCTGCTGTAGTTTCATACCAATGCCAAACATCATACAGCAGATCAAGATTTACAAAAAATAAGGACTAGAAAAGCCCTTCCTTCATGTTTTACGGAGAGATCCGGCCTCGCTCTCTGCATCTCTCCTCTGAGGAGGACAAGAGACAATACTGTTTTCTACTTTGTATTTTGTATTGTTGTGTATTTGGAGCTGTATACATTTATGTTGTACATTTGTTTTACTCCCTGTTTCAGTTTATGCTTTAATAAACTTTCAGAGCGCTTTAAACAAGATTGTGAGTTTAAGAAAAAAGACATCAATCTGTTGCATCACAGCTAGTGAGTCTTCCTCCACTCTCTCCTACCCCCTTTCTTTTTCCCCATTTTCCTCCCCCCCTTTCTTCTTCCAATTTTCCTCCACCCTGTCTTCCTCCTCCCTTTCTTCTTCCCATTTTCCTTCTCCACCCACCTTCCCATTTTCCTCCTCCACCCTTTCTTCCTCCCACCCTTTCTTCTTCCCATTTTCCTCCTCCACCCTTTCTTCCTCCTCCCACCCTGTCTTCTTCCCATTTTCCTCCTCCACCCTTTCTTCTTCCCATTTTCCTCCTCCACCCTTTCTTCCTCCCACCCTGTCTTCTTCCCTTTTTCCTCCTCCACCCACCCTGTCCTCTTCCCATTTTCCTCCTCCACCCTTTCTTCCTCCCACCCTGACCTCTTCCCATTTTCCTCCTCCACCCTTTCTTCCTCCCACCCTGTCCTCTTCCCATTTTCCTCCTCCACCCTTTCTTCCTCCTCCCACCCTGACCTCTTCCCATTTTCCTCCTCCACCCTTTCTTCCTCCCACCCTGTCCTCTTCCCATTTTCCTCCTCCACCCTTTCTTCCTCCTCCCACCCTGACCTCTTCCCATTTTCCTCCTCCACCCTTTCTTCCTCCCACCCTGTCCTCTTCCCATTTTCCTCCTCCACCCTTTCTTCCTCCTCCCACCCTGACCTCTTCCCATTTTCCTCCTCCACCCTGTCCTCTTCCCATTTTCCTCCTCCACGTCTTCTTCCCATTTTCCTCCTCCCACCCTGTCCTCTTCCCATTTTCCTCCTCCACCCTTTCTTCCTCCTCCCACCCTGACCTCTTCCCATTTTCCTCCTCCACCCTTTCTTCCTCCTCCCACCCTGACCTCTTCCCATTTTCCTCCTCCACCCTGTCCTCTTCCCATTTTCCTCCTCCACGTCTTCTTCCCATTTTCCTCCTCCACCCTTTCTTCCTCCCACCCTGTCCTCTTCCCATTTTCCTCCTCCACCCTTTCTTCCTCCTCCCACCCTGACCTCTTCCCATTTTCCTCCTCCACGTCTTCTTCCCATTTTCCTCCTCCACGTCTTCTTCCCATTTTCCTCCTCCACCCTTTCTTCCTCCCACCCTGTCCTCTTCCCATTTTCCTCCTCCACCCTGTCTTCCTCCTCCCACCTAGTCTTCTTCCCATTTTCCTCCTCCACCCTTTCTTCCTCCCACCCTGTCCTCTTCGTCTTCTTCCCATTTTCCTCCTCCACCCTTTCTTCCTCCCACCCTGTCTTCTTCCCATTTTCCTCCTCCACCCTTTCTTCCTCCTCCCACCCTGTCCTCTTCGTCTTCTTCCCATTTTCCTCCTCCACCCTTTCTTCCTCCCACCCTGTCTTCTTCCCATTTTCCTCCCACCCTGTCCTCTTCCCATTTTCCTCCTCCACCCTTTCTTCCTCCTCCCACCCTGTCCTCTTCCCATTTTCCTCCTCCACCCTTTCTTCCTCCTCCCATTTTCCTCCTCCACCCTTTCTTCCTCCCACCCTGTCCTCTTCCCATTTTCCTCCTCCACCCTGTCCTCTTACCATTTTCCTCCTCCACCCTTTCTTCCTCCTACACCCTGTCTTCTTCCCCTTTTCCTCCTCCTCCTCCCGTTTTCCTCACTGCCCTCCCATTTTCCACCTCCCTATCTTCCTCTACTCTCTTCCCATTTTCCTCACCCCTTTCTTCACCGTCTTCCTCCTCTCCTTCCCATTTTTCTCCTACCCCCTGGCTTCTTCCTCTCAGCCTTCACCCTCTCCTTCACATCCTCCACCTCAACCGCTTCCATCCACTCCACCTACAGGTCCTCCTCCTTTCATAGCTCCTCATCTCCAACTTACCATCCTCCTCGACTACTTAACATCCACTCCATCTCCAGGCAGGATCGAAACAGGGTCCTCTTGTTGGTGCTGCAGTGCTCTACCAGTGAGCCACAGGGAACTTGTTGATGGGCCAGCTGAAACTCATATTTCACTGTTCATAAAGTGACACTTTAAAGTGAAAAACCTAAGCATAAAATACAAAGTTCCAGGTATATTATGTTGCACATTTCAGATGACCACATGATGACAAAATATAAAGTTTTGCTCTTCATATTATGCTCATATGCTTCATATTACACTATTCATTATTTCATACTTACTTACACCCAGGGCTGTTTATATCGAAGTTGGTATTTACCACACCCAAAATAATTGTGTTTTAAAGAAAACGGCATTGAAAAGTTCACTGCAAGTGCAATCACATAGTTTTACCTTGACATCTCCAGTGGCTCAGCAATCATAGGGATGGTTCTTCACCTGGGAGACACAGGGTCAAATCTTGCTGTATGCATAAAAAATACTTTACTTACATTGGTTTTGACCTGATTAAAAGACAAAAGTGCAAAAGAAAAATAAAAGAAAGAAAGTGTGGTGTGGCTCCAATGGCTCAGCAGTCATCTTGGAAACAGAGGTTTAAATCTCGCTCTGTGTGAAATAAACTTTACGTCCATTGGTTTTGGCCTGATTAAAAGACAAAAGTCAACAAAAAAAAAAAAAACCAAAAGAGAGGAACTTCTGTCTCCAGTGGCTCAGCACTTGCAATGTGGGTCATTCAACTGTGAAACTTAGGTTCGAATCTTGCTCTTTGCAAAAATGTACTTCCATTGGTTTTGGCCTGATTAATAGACAAAAAACAAAAGGCAGAAGGTGGCGTCTCCAATGGCTCATCAGTCAGGGAGATGCTTGTTCATCAGGGAAAGTCAGGTTCAAACCTCATTCTTTGTAAAATTTTAGTTCTATTGGTTTTGACCTGATTAATAAACACAAAAAGGAGGAAAGATGCTGTTGTCTCCAGTGGCTCAGCACTCTAAGTAATGGTCCTTCAGCTAGAAAACACAGGTTTATGTCTCTCTGCTTTCATGAAAAAAACTGTACTTACATTGGTTTTGGCCTGATTAAAAGACAAAAGTCAACAATAAATGCAGGTGAGGAAGCACCATCTACAGTGGCTCAGCACTTGCAAAAAGTCTGGTGGCTCAGTGGTTAGGATGATAGACCCTCACTTAGGAAACATAGGTTCAAATCTCACTCTTTGTAAAAATATACTTCCAATGGTTTTAGCCTGATTAAAAGACATAAGTAATAAAAAATAAAGGATAAAATGTGGCATCTACAGTGGCTCAGCAGTCAGGGAAATGGTCCTTCATCTGGGAAACACAGGTTAAAATCTTGCTCTTGGCAAAAATGTCCTTTCATTGGTTTTGGCATGATTAAAAGACAAAAGTCCAAAAAAAAAAAAAAAATGTCGTGGCTCAGTGGTATGGTCATATTCTCACAGTCAGGACTGTGTTGGTTCTAATCCAGCTTTGAGTAGGAGTGTGCAGATCCTGGTCAGTGGAAACAGAGGAAGACCTTGACAAGTGAACCTTCCACATGACAAAAGAAGAAGTATTATCCTTAATTTTACTCTACTGTTTCATACTTACTTACACCCAGGTCTGCTTAAATCAAAGTTGAAATTTAGCCGCACCATGTTGGTGTTTAACACCTAATTTTTATAAGGTGGATTGTTAGCCTAACGCTTAACCGCCAACCCAGAGGACCATTGTTTATTTCATAGTGTCACAAAATACAATCTGTATACGGTAATACTTTTTTCAAAATTTATACGAGCTCAGTATTACATGGCATTTCAGGAGATGCATCCAGAAACATGAACAGCGTCATGAGAAAGTTGCAATGTTGAAAGTACAACATTTACATTTTTTCATGTTGGACCAGAGATGTGGATCAGCGGCAGATCTCAGGTGGTAGAGTTGCTCCTTAATTAGTGGAGAAAATTCTGATCTCAGGTTTCAGCATTTCTCCATTCTTCCTTTTCCTCATCTTCCTCCACCACCTCACCCTCAATCTTCCACCAGTTATTCACCCTTTCTCATTTGAAACTTGCTTTACTCCACTTCCTCTTCCCATCCTCTAGTTCACGTATATTAGGCCTCATTCAGTCGACCTGAATCCACAGATGTTCTCCATCAATTAGTCCTCCACTCAGTCTCCTTTTTCTCTACCTCATGCAGTCACTTGACCTCTGCCTTCTCCTCTTCCTCAACTCCACATTCGTTCACTCCTCCACTCTGCCTTGTCATCTTTTTTGGCTCCCCCTCTCTGCCTCTATACCCTCCACCTTTAAAGTGAAACTCACAACATTTATGCATCATTCATCAGAGTAAAGAAACATATTTTAAAACAATTTCAGTAATATAAATCCTCCTTTCATGAATCTTGTGCCTTTAATGTTACATCTGTGTTGTGCATTTAGAGCTACCTACATATATTTTTTTGTTCATGGTGTGAACATGTCTTTATCAATCTTTGGTTACCTATTAAAACAAAAACAGTCACTTCTACATGCACAGATGTTTGAGAAAGAAACCAATTATCTGGATATCCCATGGTGTTACTAGACCCCCAGCAGACATTTTTGCTCAGCATAAAAAACATACCACTTTACCATGTTTGCATGGCGTACTTCCTAAAAAAAAAAAATTAATTCAAGAACACGTTAAATATTTCATTTGAGACAAGAACAGCTCATTTTTTAAAAACATTGTATATGTCTTTTTATTTAAAAGAGCATGTGGGTTAAACAGTAATGCGGAGGAGATGTCACTTGGTAATAAATTATCCTCTTTAATCTGTGGATCAAAATATATACCTCTAGCGCTGAATATGAAGGGGTAGGAATGTACTTTAGCAGAATGACGGCTGGCCGAGGTTATGGCTTTTAAGTTGACTCTCATTGCACTCTTTCAGGTGCCGTTGCATGATGCCGTTTGTTTTGAAGCGAGGCCGTTATTAGGTCTTTCTCCCCCTCCGTTTCCTAACCTCTATATCCTGCATCCTTTGATCTCGTCTGCTTCTCTTGGCTGACGGTAGGAGGAGCAGGACGGTGCGTTTGCCTCCCGGCTGTACAGATGCACTTTGAAAAGATCAGTGAGGGAGAAAACAAAGAGAGTAGACGGAGACAGAGAGGAGAGTCACCAGGACACAGAGCCCCAGAGCGAGCAGATGACTGGCCCAGACTCTCTCTCTCTCTCTCTCATACATGCTACATACTTCCAGCAATTAAACACATTCATACTTTGACTGAATGGAGGAGGAGGAGAGTGGGGTAAGTTGGGACACTTTTAAAAAATGTAAAACAGATTTATATGGTCAAATAGGATATGCATAAATGTGTTGAATAAAAATATTTTAAATCGAAATGTAAACGTGGAAAATACAGAAATGTGCAGAAAAAAACATTTAAGATACTTTAAATGTTTATGTTTTCTAATCATTTATGCAGTTTAATGTATGGTTTGGAAATTATTTTGAGTATTTTTTACATTGGAAATATAGAAATGTGCTAGTACATACAAATATTTAGGATATTTCCAACCAAAATGTAATCAAATAATTGATGTGGTTTTTATATAATTTTTTGGGAATGATTTTGGAGAATGGTCATTTATGTGACATTTTTTTCCAAATATGAGAAATGTTTGAAATAATTTAGCTGTGTGTAGCTTATGTAAACTATTAATTACAAGTACATAGTTAAACATAAATTTTTAAGTAAAAATCTGCATGATGTAACAGGTTTTATGTACCATTAAGATGATTTCAAGAGTTCACACTTAGCTGAAGATTGATTATAAAGTGTGTTTGGCATGCTGTCCCAGGAGAATGCCCTGGACTCATAAAAACTTCGAGTCTGGGGCTCCCTCCCGTTTGCACAGCGAGAGGGGAGTTTGAACTCTAATGCTGTTTATAGCTAAAGACAAATAAAGAATTGCTATGAAGAGATATACTGATAACTAGGAGCACATCTATGGTGCCAATTTGGATTAGTCAATTCACTTATATCACATGTTTTTGGATGGTGGGAGGACACCGGGGAACCCGTGGGAAACCCACGCTAGCAAGGGAAGAACATGTAAACTCCTCAAAGATATGTCGACTGGCCTGGTAAGGACTTGTGTCAGTGATATTTTTGCTGTGAGACAACAGTGCTAGCCACTGGGCCACCATACCGCCCTATCTAGGAAAAGAGAGAAGGAGTAGGGGTGGAATGGGGGATTCTTCAAAATGAAGATAACTGTTGTGGTATGAAACTCTGGTTATTTATAGTGACTTAGGAATTGTCTGATTGGTAAATCATGTATTAGCTAATGCGGGAACAGCCGTGGTCAATCATGAGCACATAATCCTCTCAAAATTAGTTTATAAATAAACTTCACTTATATATATCGTTTATTTGTTTAATTTTATTTATGATAAATTCAGAATATTTGAAGCTCAAATTTAATTGTATAATTTAAGTGATTTTGTTTCAGAATTCAGGATTAGAGTATTTTAAGACCAAATTTAGTCAAATAATTCTGTAGTAATTGCATAGAAATGTAAATTATTAGAATTAAACTAGTATTTAAGCTAAAAAAAATTACAAAAATTGCAATTCTTAAAAGTAATTTATGCAAAATGTAATATTCAAAAACAATATTTACACACACGTATTGAACTTTATTTAGGAAGTTTTCAAATATGAACTATTATTCTGAATGTTTAGTCAAATAACTGAACTGATCATTTGTGCTATTTAGTTACATTTAACTAAATATTACATTTTATCTTCAAACACTTCAAATTTTTCAACACAATCAATTCAGAATAGCTCTTACACGTGCCTCTTTTTTCAAATGTGAAATATTAATAAGAATATTAGGCAAATGACTGTGTACATTTAGGTTATTACCATTTTATAATATCTGAAAAGTAAATGTCTTTCTGAATATCTGAAAATCTAATAATGAACAAAAATGATACTGCTTTTGGTAGATGTGGTGACACATTTTACCCCACTCTCCCTATAACACTTAAGTCATCACCTAAATAATCATTTGTGTGCGCCTGTACAGTACACTAATGTAAATGTGAAATATATACAGCATGCGATTGATATATTACATCAGCAAAGGGGAACTGAGTCTACATATACACAAGTGTCTGAGAAAGATGAATATGAATGCATTCTTTTACGTGCGTTGCAATCTCCAAAGTCCCGTCTTAATTGACGTGGGTGTTTTTTTTTTGTACAGTTCATACAACTAATGGACTATTTCCAAAGCCGCAAACACCCATAATTGCTTCTCACAATGAATTCCCTTCATTAGTTTTCATCTTACATTTGCTGTTAGACCTCAGGCCAAAAAAAAAGAAAGAAAAAGCCACTCAGCAGCAGCAGAGCAAAAAATATCTACAGTCTGTTCTACATAATTAAATCTGATAGACTCAAAAAAAACTTCATTTTCCCTGATAATGGTTTGTGATGGGATGAAATGGGTTTGCAACAATATATTGGGTGTTAAGAGAGTTTTTGTTGTTGTTGTTGTAGTGTAATACTGGGTTTCCTTTAGGCATCATACTTCTTTCCGGCTCTGTGGATTTGTTGGTATAAGGTCATGGAAAATGCCATCCCGAGCAGCTGAGAAACAGAAAACAGGGTCAAACAGGATGTGACATCATTGGAGGCAAAACATTTTTGGTATTATTCCTACCTGCAAGACCAGCACACACATGGCGATGGTTCCCAGCAAATGTTTGTTGTCGTTCAGCCATTCCTCCACCTTCTCGTAGCAGCCCTGAGGGACAGAGAGATGAAAATGTACATACTGTATACAAAATGAAAAGTTTACAATGTGGACCATAATCATGAAACAGAGAATTCTGACTTTTTATTTACGATTTTTAGGTTTAAAATGAAAAACATTGAAATTAAAAAAAGAAATGAAATTATCAGATTATTACCAGATAAGACTTAGAGTAAACATTAAAACAATATTAAATTTAAGTTAAAACTAGTAGATCCATTTAAAATAGAAAAACAATTGCAATATAATAAAGCTACAGAAATAATTTGGTCACTTTATTTTGATGGTCCGTTTGTTAAATTTAGGTTATATTTCAACTACATGCCAACCAAGTCTCAATAGTCAATAGATTATAAGTAGACTGTTAGTTCTACTCATAATCTAGGTTTTTACACACCTAACTCTGTGTGGAAAAAAAAAGGCAAGAGAGAGTATATCTGCTGATCTGGTATTATAAGTATTTGAACAGTACTCCAACAAACTAAATATGTTCTGTGGTAATTTACCAACTAAAGCTTTAAAAATAAAAGCTAAGATGTGTTGTTTTCTCCTTGACTGTAATGAAGTCCATTTTTTCCTTTTATATAAACTACATTGATGTGTGTGTGTGTGCACTTGAACCAGTGACAAAACACAAGGCACTATATTCAGAAATAGGCACTATTTCTAAAGAATGACTTTTAAAATAAAATAATACAAAACATGTTTAAACAGAGAAACTATTACAAATTTATGTAATTTTATTAGAAATACCAATAAAATAAAATAAAACTCTAAATATAATAATAAATAAAATGAAATTACTTCAAATATAAAATAAACATGCATTTTATTAACAATAAAACGAAATTAAATCAGATCAAATATTAAAATAACAAAAATACATAGTAATTATTCAAATACAATAATCTAACTTTAGAAACAGAAACCATAAAAATTAAAATACACCTTTAATCAGAAAAAAAAACATTAAAGCAAAATACATTTTAAATCACAACAACATAAAAAGATTCAACTTTAAATGAAAATAAAAAAAATAAACACCCAATCCCACCTGTGACCAGAAGACATTAGTGGTGTTGCGACCGCACTCGGTATAGTGCTCCTGGCAGCATCTATCCGGCACTGACTTCTCCTGCAGCGCCTCATGCCAGTCTGAGAGCCCAGTTACACCGCAACACTGCCACTGTGAGACACAACCAGCATTCATTCACACAGAGAAGAAAAGCACAGTTCTGCAGACGCCAGCATATCGTTCAATACTGCAGGGCTTCATGGCTTATTCTCCATAACTCTGATCCACTACCTGAACTCACAGCGACCCGCCATTACTGTCATTACAGACGGCTGTATATATTAAACGCACCTCAGCCTGAATGATGTTCCAGGCATTGCGGAGACCCACGTTGTTGTCCGTGTTGTAGAGCCGCAGGCCGTCTTTAAGATCCTGCTTTGCATTTTCACTCACCTGCAGAAAGTTTAAATTCATGCATTTATAAACTCTACAGTAAGAGAATAATTACAATTTATTTCAAAACCAAATTAAAATTTATCTGTCACACACTCAATATGGTATGCAGTTAAATGCTTACACAACCACTTGTGACCTTAAAATAACAACAGCAATAACAAAAATAGAATAAAGAATAATAACAATTAATAATAACAACCATAAGAATCAAAATTTTGAAGACATAGAAGTTATGCAATAAAAAAAGCAAATATAAAATATTGAAAGTACTTTTAATATAGAGTATGTGTATTAGAGTATGTAACGATATAGTATGTAATGATATTAACGATATAGAGCATGTAATTACTTGCATTGCAGATGCATATATTAATAATTTCTTTAAATATTTCCCAAGTGATGTTTAACAGAGCAGGGAAATTTTCACAGTATTTCCTATAACATTTTTTTGTTCTGTAAAAGTCTTATTTATTTTAGTTTGCCTGGAATAATTGTCCATTTTATTAGTTCATAATTTTTTTTTTTCAATTGACTACAAAAAAAATTGTTGCCTAATTAACCTAACTTCCCTAGTTAACCTAAATAATCTAGCTCATCTAGCTCAATCTAATCCTTTAAATTGCACTTTAAGTTGAATACTAGTACTAGATGTTGTTGATTTGAAGGAATTTATCAGTTTGGACAGTTCTTCCTTACTGCTGAAATCGTTTATCCATTAAGGCTCTACAGCGCTCTAATTGGGACGTTGCTGTTGGAGGCAGATTGATGGTGCTTATTTTATCTCTGAAATCATCAATCTTGCATGTGAAGAAATTTATAAAGTCATTACTGCTGTGTTGAGAAATGCATGTTGATGGTTAGATTGGCCACTGTGTTAAACAGGGCCCTTAGATTGTGTTAATTTTCTTCTATTAAAGTAAAAAAAAAAAAAAAAACAAGCAGATCTGGCAGACTTTAAATCTTTTTTTAAAGTTAAGTATACTCTCTTTCCAAGCTAGACGAAAAACCTCTAGTTTTAAGTGTAACGGAGCAACTATGTCTAAAGTGCTAGAAAAGAAAAGAATCAATAGTTTCAGTTGCAGTGTCAAGCTCATCTAGACTGCCTGGAATGCTAAGGAAATCAGAAAGATTATGTAGTTTACTGACAAAGTCATCTTTAGTGCTAGTGGTGATTGTTCTACCATATTTATAAATAGAAGCTGATTTTGTAGACCTATAAATGCACAAAAAAACAAGAGATTAAATAGTGATCTGAAATGTCATCACGCTGTGCTCAACTTCAACATTATCAATATCAATACCATGTGATGAGCCGATGAGCAGGCCCTGAGACATACTGTTTCACTCCAACAGAGGTAAGTATGCCTAAGAAGGCCAGACTTAAATCATTTTTCAATTATTATGAAAAAGACAAAATAAATTAGTTATTAAAATTATCATGTTTCAAAATCTCCATTAAACAGAACGTTGCCTTTAACTGTACAAAAAAAAAAAAAATGACTAAACATAAATAATATAATATATACACGTTTCTAGCAAGTAAATTAAACAAATTACCATCAATGGCAAACCCATTGCTAAGGTGTGCATAGAGAGTTTTAATGTTAATATAAGTTAAAGAGCTGAAGACATAAAAGGAAAAAAACATTAAAAATGGAGAAGAAGTAAAGTAAAGCAGGAGAGCAGGTGTGTGGGCTGCTGTTGTTGTTGTCAAGATTCGCGTGGGTAATGAGAGTCACAGTGGGTGGTTAGTTCTGTGTTTTTCTATTTGTGTGTGTGTGTGTGTGTGTGTGTGTGTGTGTGTGTCTGTGTGTCTGTGTGTGTGTAATAGATAGACTGAGGGGGTGTGTGATGCTTAGGGTTTGTACTGTACCTTCTCTGTGTATACGAAGAAAAGAATGAGCAAAATCAGCTCCGCTAACAGAATAATCAGCAGAACAATGAAGAACTGCAAGAAAAGAGGAGCACCAGTAAAACACTTATATGCTTTAACCAAGAACGTTACTGAAAATATCAAAAATATATACAGTATATAATATATATTGCCAGTGCTGGGCAAAGATTAATTGCAAGCTATCACATCCAAAATATATGTTGGTTTTGGTATAAGATGGCAGAATGGTGGCGCAGTGGGTAGCACAATGGCCTCACAAAAAGAAGGTTGCTGGTTTGAGCCCCGGCTTGTTCAACCATATTAGGAAAATTTGATAAGTTCTATAAAAAAGGCTAATAAATGTGAAATATTATAATGATTTTTGATCTATAATACACACATAAAACAATAAATAAATAATAAATGATCTGTGGGAATTTCCCAGAGATGGGTTGCAGCTGAAAGGGCATCCACTGCATAAAACATATGCTGGATGAGTTGGCAATTCATTCCGCTGTGGCGATCCCAGATTATTAAAAGAGACTAAGCCGAAAAGAAAATGAATGAATGAATAAATGAATGATCTGTGGGTATTTTGAGTTGAAACTTCACAGACACATTCTGGGAAAACATATTCCATCTTGTAGAAATATTACATCATATTACATCTTGTAGTTTAATATTTTAGGTCAAAGAGATCTGGTTGACAAAAAAAAAGCATGAATCCCTGAAATAATGAATGTGCTTTGTAATGAATGTCTCTGAAACTTTCCCGTTTCATAAAATGCTGAGAGAAACAGATAAAAATGCAGCGACAGCAAATACATTCACACAAGTGTAAAAATGGAAAGGTCTTTTTGGGAATACAACTAAAAAAAAAAAAAAGTTACTACAAGACAATTCATAACAGAATAATCAGACCCACAAAACATCTGTGCCTGTAAAGTTCTGCAGATATTTTGGCCATTCATGAAATGAGTCTAATTCATTTCATTAAACATGTACATATACACTGTAAAACCCAACAGTCAACTTGATCAAATGAAATGATTCATTTATTGTGTTTTATTGTGCTCAAATTGCTTTGTTAACTCGAATGGATTAAGTTCACAGTACTTATTAGAATTAGCTTTTGAACTTAATTTGTTGTTGCAACCGGTTTCCTCAAATGGTTTGAGTTACCTTGACTTTTGGAGTTTTACAGTGTAGTTATCACCTATCTGCTATAAAACTGCAGGTTAACTGTTTATTTATAACAACTTATATTTGATTGCAACTTTAACTTAATTTGATTGTAAAGCAATAATATGCACTATTTGTGAAGCTGCTTTGAAACAATAATTATTGTAAAAAGCGCTATAGAAATAAACTTGAATAGAATTGAATAATTATTTAGTTGTTTAAATGTGTGCAAATATATATTTATTCAGATTTTTTATTAATTTGAACAATATTCCTTAATACTATGAAAATGTTTATGATTTAGGAAAAACATCTTTTTGTAAATTCACATTTTTTTGTCTTTTAGTAGATCTAATATTTGGGAGAATTACTTTGTTTACCAAACAAGTATTTCTAATTGGATTTGCATTGTAAACCTTAAATTAAAAAATTAAACGTTTTTTATTTATGTGTTTTAGCTTTAAGTTACCATACTTTCAATATCATTCAGCATAAATCCGCAGATTTTTGTACAAAACCTCTGTGCAGCATAGCAAATAGCAGATTCTGTCTGGACCAGCTTATAACCCAGAATTACTTTATTAACTAATTCATTAAGCATTATGGGACTTGTAGGCATGGACTTACACTCAGCAACAGGCACTTGTTCTCCTTGATGGCACCGAGGCATCCCAGAAAGCCTGTTACCATGACGACGGAGCCCAAGGTAATGACCAGATTGGCGGCTGAGAGGGAGGGGAAGGAGGGGGAGAAAGTGGCAAAGCTGCCCTGCGAAACGGACAGCCAGATGCCCACACCCAACAACCCACATCCCGACAGCTGAGGACAAACACACACAGAGAGACATTACTAAACACACAGGCACTCATGCATTATGGATCAAACCTCAAACTCACACAACTATTCAGTTCGACAGTGTTTCGTCAGGCTTTTACATGTTAATAAGGACTAGAGCAACTCCATCCCTGAAGCACTCAAGGGCCACTATGAGGACTCGGTTCACTCAAGGTAAGTTATAGTTACTGTTGTGCGCATGCCTAACCAACTAAATGATACCTGTGTCAGCTCTGAGACCAATATAAATGCTAATGGCACTGCAATGAAGGTTGTTGTTGAGTATTGGAGTGTAAATTCTGTGTGTGTGTCTGGACTGAAGGTGTGCTTGTTCGCGTTTCGTATAGAAAGAAACTCCTGTAATTTCATGCTCAGGTAACCGAAATGTAAAAGTAGGCCAGTCTGCTGAAGGCTATAGGCAGAAAGAGAAAGTTAGCTAATACACCTGGACCAGCTCCAAATAATAAATGAGAATATGCTGTGGGAGAAGATGCGTGTTTGCAATTTGTATGGTGGAGAGTTTAATTTAGGGTTTTTTCTGAATTATTGCAAAATGTCAGAAATGAAAGTTTGCCATGCACTAATGGGTAAACCATTTTTAAAGTTCACATTTGTAAATAGTCTTTCAGTAAAACAAAGTAAAACATTTGTCATGCTGTCTGGTTCATTCTGAGTAGGAATGTAAGCCAATATTAAAATTCTGTGCAATTTTGTCTAGGAAATAACATCAAACAATTGAAAGAAATAATAAATCAATAAAATATTATAATAAATAATATAAATAATAAATAAAAGAAATTGTTTTAAATACAAATAATAAAAAATTAACTGTATAAAAAATAAATAATTTATATAAAATATTCTATGCAATTTATTTAAAAATAAAAATGAAAAAACATGCAATTTTGTCTAAATAAATATTATATAATAATAATAAAATTGTTGAAATTCTCTGAAAAAATTTAATATAAAAATAATGTTGTAAGAGTTGTCTTTTTGTTCTATGCAATATTTTCTCAAATCTAAAATAAATATTAAATCATATCAATAAACTACAACTATTAAGAACTAAACTGTGAAATTGGGCATCACAAGGCTGTTATGTACTCTATTATTTACATTATAAAACGCACAAAACATATAATATATATATATATATATATATATAACAGGTGGAGTTTTGTTGTAACATCACTAATCAGTCATTCTGCAGTCCTTTGGAACCCAAACATACTTCATCTTTCTGCAACCCTTCTCTGCATACCAGAACTGAACAGTTAAGTTACCTTCAATATATTTCACAACTTCTACAAGCATCCAGCTCCTTCTGACATTTCTAGACTTCTTATTAGACAGAAGTCTAAAGCAAGCCCCCCACACTATATTTATTCTTATTCTGCTATTTCCCTCTTGTCAGCAGTTTCTTCTAAGAAGTATGCAACACGGAAGCAAAGAAGAGGTATGTTTGGTTAATATATGATATCATACAATAGAAAAAGATTGATTAATCTGTTGTTAACCTAAGCATTTTTTCTAATAAAAAAATTAAGACACAAAAGTAATAAAAATAAATTCCCCTAAATTAGGCTTTAATTTAGTTAGTACATTTGAATTATTCTAACTTATAATAAATATCAGGTATTCACATATAATGAAAGAAATATTTTTAAGGGGTTTAAAAGAGACATTTTAGCAGGTCAAGATGTTCTCTGTTAATCCTTCCTCACATTTGGTGTGTCACTGCGAGATATGCCCTACAGTGAGGCGGTCTGGCTCCCCACACACTCCTCTTTGAGTATAACTGAAGGTGAAAAGCTGTGTCATTCAGTTCCCTGGAGGAAATACCCATCATGCACTCTGAGAACCACGGAGAATCGGAAATGAGACAGAATCCTTACGCTTGGAAAATGATGAGTGTGAAAAATACGAGATAAAACAGGTGTGTGTGTGTGTGTGTGAGTGAGAGAAAGAGAGAGAGAGAGAGAGAGAGAAAGCAGTAAGTGCAAAAAATAGGTTAAAGATGAAAACTTTTACAAACCATGAAAATGAAAAGTATGGCACAGTAATAAAAAACTCTGAGAGGAAATAATTAGGCAGTAAACGCAAGCAAGAAAAAGCCAAAGTGCACACAAACGAGAAAATAACAGAAGAAAAGCATAAACAGCTCTGTCCAGAGAAGCAGACAGACAGTGCTGTATATTAAACAGCTTTTAACCCAAATGTTAGTATTCACAATGCACTACCACAATCAAGACACACACAAACACACACACACACACACACACACAAACAAATTGAATTGAATCTATTCTCTCTGCCTTTGGAAAATCCTTCATAATGGGTTTGTTCTTAATCTAATCCTGCATTTCAAACTGGGGGACTGTTTGTTCGAAAGGTTTTTCTTTACAGTGTGATGCATTCAGACACATGCAGACTGAGGCACAACTTCAATAGATTATGGGTCTGAAGCAGCACAATGAACACAATCAAGGAGTGTGGAGAGGAGAACGAGGAGAGGACATGAAGGGAAGTAGGAAAAAAATACAAAGAACTTACGCAAAAGGGACTAACGAAAGACAAGGGCAGGAAAGGAAAGATGAAGAAGGAAAGGCAAGGAAGATGAAAAGGAAACGAAATTATGATGGAAGGAAAGTAAGAAGGAAATGAAAAAGAAGGAAAGGAAATTAAATGAAAGGAAAGATGAAGAAGGAAAGGAAATGAGAGGAAAGGAAGCTGAAAAGAAATACAATTACAATGGAAAGGAGAGCAAGATGAAGAAGGAAAGGAAAGGAAGATGTAGGATGAAAGGAAGACGAAGGAAAGAAAAGTAGGATGAAGAATGAAAGGAAAGGAAAGGAAAGTAAAGGAAAGAAAGATGAAGCATGAAAGGAAAGGAAGGAAAAAAATTAAAAAGGAAAGAAAATAGGAAAGATGAAGAAGGAAAGAAAATCAAAAGAAAATGCAGATGAAGAAAAGGAAAGGAGCGAAAAGGAAACTAAAGAAAATATGATGAAGAAAAGGAGAGAAAAGATAAAGAAAGGGAAGATGAAAAAGAAACAAATGTACAATAACAAGGAAATAAATTAGAAGAATGAAAGGAAGAAGAACAAGGAAAAAAAATAAATTTGAAGAAGAAACGAAATTACAATAAAATGAAAGGAAAGATGGAGAGTGAAAGAAAATGAAGGAAAGGAAGCTGAAAAGAAACAACATTACGATGAAATGGAGTGGAATGGAAAGGAAAGTGATGAAGGAAAGAAATAAGTAGTGGGAAAGGAATATGAAGGAAAGAAAAGGAAGATGAAGAATGAAAGGAAAAGAAGATGAAGGAAATGGAACAAAATAAAATAAAGAGAGATGAAGGAGAAATGGAAAAGAAAGGAAAGGGAGATGAAGGAAATGAAAGTAAAAAAAAGAAAAGAAAAGGAAGATCAGCAAGAAACAAAATTATAATGAAAATCAAGGGAAGGAAAAGAATGGAAAAGAAAGAAAAGGAGAAGATATGGAAGATGAAGAAGAAAAGGAAAGAAAGATAAAGGAGAAAAGGAAGATGAAGAAGGAACGGGAGAAGAAAAGGGAGATAAAAATGGAATGCAAACAAAAGGAAAGATGATGAAGGAAAGTAAATTAAAGGAAGATGAAGAAGAAGAGGAAAGAATGGTGAATAAAAAACAAAAAAAAACATAAAAGAGAATAAAGGATATGAAAATACAGAATAACATATAGAAGAATACAAATACTCTAAAAGCACAGGAGAAGAAAAGGACAGGAAAAAACTAAAGAAAAAAGAAAAAGAGACAAGAAAAAGAGGGCATGACCAAATTGAAAAGGAAAGGACAAAAAAGATAGCAAAGGAAATTAAATACAAAAAAATGTAAATACAATAACAGAAAAAAGAAGAGCTTTAGCATCTCAAAAGTTAAAGGACAACAAACAGAAAGGTAAGAAATTATTAAGAACATCAAAAAGGAAATGAAAGGACAAAGGGAATAGATAGGTAGGAAGTTAAGAGATATAGGTACTGAAATATAAACAGCAAAAAAGGAAATGGAAAAAGATATAGCAAAGGAAAATAAAAAGGAAAGTAAGAACTCAATAAAAGGACGGGAAAAGAAAAATAGGACAGGAAATTAAATTAAGGAAAGGTAAGAAAGGACAGGAAAGAATAAAATAAGGCAAGAAAGATGCAAAAAAAGAAAAGAACATTCCACTGAATGTAGATATCAGTGATGAGTACTGAAATAAGCAACACCGAGAGAGAGAAGGTGATTCAGTCATTTATGTTAATATCAGACTCCACATACTAAACTGACCTCACACACACTAATGAGTGTACTGTGTGTTTGTGACCTTGCGAAGGGAGAAGGGAGTCTGGCCTTAACTTTCTGACTCATGTATTAAACATAAAGCAGAGCGCCATCAGGCTCAGTAATGTCAAAGACATGAAATATAGATTACCAGTGACCTACAACACCTCCTTAACTCCACTCAGAAACATCATTAGCACCCCATTTACATTCTTATAGCGAAAATATAATAAAATGCACTGAACGCAAAAATAAAGCAGAGCGAGATCAAGGGGTTTTTGTTTTATGCTTTGCTGAACTCCTCTGTAAACCTTGTAATTCAGAATAGAAAAGTCATTTCTCGTCAGTGGAAAAAAATGAACTCTGATATTAAATTCCAGCAAACCAAACTGCTTTAACAAACTTCTTCATCTCAAGGTAATTCTATCTAAAGCTTTCTGTGTCTCCTTTTCAAACCACTTTTATCTTCCTTTCTATCACCCTCCTCTCTCTTTTATTCCCTCTCCGCCCCGCTGCTTAAAGTGTGCAGTGTAAAATCTCCAGGCTTTTGCAATCTTCCATAATTTCTTTATTCTTTCATGTTCCCTCTTTTCCGTCCCTATATGGATGTATATGTGGGTGTATGTGTGTGCAGCAGGAGATTTCAGATCAGTCGGAAGTTTTTTTTTTTTCTTTTTCAAGTTTCCTGCTTGTGATTTGGTGCTTCCGTCATTAAATTCGCTCAGAATCAAACAAATAACAACACATCCACGGCAGATCAAACGACTGAAATCTTGCAACTCGCATAACCGTAATCTGACACACAGACTTCCTGTTGCATTTACTCAACAACAATAACAAGACAAAGACGAGCGAGAACTTAAACTATGAGCCTATGAGAGAAGTTAGAATGGGAGCGAGAGGAAAGAAGGGGGTCTTTTTGAGTGCTCTTTCTGCTTCATATGAATATGGATTAATGCCTTTGATCTGAAAGCATTTAACACCTCATGATGAACCTCCTTCCCTCTCAATGCAGCACATACACACACATTCATGACATTCAACATACTACAGTTACTACCAGGAGGATTATGCTCTTACAAACTAATTTCTAAGCTAAGTGGATTTTCTTTTTTTTTCTAAACATGTAAATAATTAGCATTTAGAAAATTAAAGTGCAAATGAGCAATTTGGGGTGGAAAATAACATTTCATTTTCTGAAAGACACATTTCTATATTTACATAATAATAATCACTATTTATTGCAACCTTCACTCACAATTTTAGACAACCCAGGCTCATTTTGAAAACATACCCCTATAAACTGTACATTTCTGGAGAGTGCAAAATATGTTAGCTGTTTTTGCGAATCCACCAGAGAGATTTTGTAAGATCTCAAAGTTCTTTTGCGAATGGCATTTGCACCTGCTGTTATCGAGTAAATGCACCAGAGGCCGCTGTTGACTGACTGACCAAACGACTGACAGACTGCCCCACCCAGCCCCTTCCTTAAACCCAACCGATAGTGTTTTAAAAAGCACCAATTAACCAGCGCCCACTCACTTCCCTAATCCCAACAGTGTTTTAAAACCAATCCAAAAAAGCCCTTCCCTTCCTTCTTCATCTTTCCTTTCCTTTCCTGTTTTTCCTTCATCTTCATTTCTTTCGTTCTTCATCTTTCCTTTCATTTCCTTTCCTTTTTTTCATCTTCTTTTCCTTCCTTTACTTTCCCTTCCTTCTTCATCTTTTCTTTCCTCTCCTTTCCGTTCATTTAATTTTCACATTTTACTACATTCTCACCCTGTTATTTACTTGTTTATTTTATATTTTGGGTTTTGTTTTTGTCCTACCCGCTTTCTGGAAGCGTTCTTTGTCATACTCATACCCTGTCTCTTCTCTGCGTCACAAGTCCACCAACGTATGCTGCAAGCCACTGGACAAACTGGTAACAGCGGGAAAGCCTTCTATATAGAGGAAAGCAGTCAGCTGATATCGCAGAAACGAACTGGGTCATACCACAACATAGCATTTGTTTGAAAGCTTAATTTAGACAAACGTACTTCTGGCTACATAATTCACGATCTCCAGAAATGTATAGGGCTACGTTTTCAGAATGAGCATATGTTGATTTTAGAGCCGATTTTTATGGATTTTGGGATTCCTCTAACTTTTCCAAACCATTTTTTCAGCTTTTTTAAGGTTATTTACATTATTGTATATATTATTATTTATATGTTTTATTCATTATTTTATTATTAGCCTTGCATTTTATATTCATACACATTTAATACTTTTATTTATTCTTTTGTTTTCATGATTTTGGAAAAAAAATTATTGTCAAATTTATTCATTATCACATCTACATGGTTGTCAAGTGTCAGATTACATGATTACTTGAGTTTTATGGGTCTTCTTGTGTCTACATCTTTGCTAGGTTTGCCATAACAATTGTATGGGGTTGCTGTGGGGTTATGATGACGTTTTAAGTGTATTAGTGTGTTACTATGTAGATGCTGGGGTGTTATTTGCCATCAGAGCTACTTTTTGTTGTATTATTTTCAGAGAGTTGTCAGGTTGCAATAGTGTTTTTTAGCTCACAATTTTAGGGTGTTTTATGTGGTTTCCAAGGTGTTGCTTTGTGGTTACTTGGTTATTCTCAGTGTTTCATAGTGTTACTAGGGTTTTGTTAGGGTGTTGTTTGGCTCATATTTCTAGGATGTTGTAGATGGTTTCCAGGGTGTTGCTACATGGTTACTTGAATGTTCTAAGTGTTTTAGAGTGTTATTATGTGGTTGCTAGGTTGTCGTTTGACTCACAATTCTAGGGTGTTGCAGGTGGTTTCCATGGTGTTTCTATATGGTTACTTGGGTCTTCTAAGTGTTTAAGATTGTAATTATGTGGTTTCTAAGGTGTTGTTTGGCTCACAATTCCAGGGTGTTGTATGTGGTTTTCAGGGCATTGCTATGTGGTTACTTAAATGTTGTGAATGTTTCAGTGTGCTACTACATGGTTGTTTATCACCAGAATCCTTGGGAGTTGCAAGTGGAGTTTTTAAAGGCCGAAAATGGAGCGTTTTGAAAACACTGCAGAGGTTGTTTTCATTCTAAAACGCTGCTGCTATGTGTGGATGCGGGAAAACGGAGACATCGGAAAACCTAGGCGGGGCTGCAGACATTCAACATCTGATTAGGGTTTTTCCCTCAATATTAAGTAGCCTACAAAGAGTTCAGTCCTGCATCCTCTCCTTGTAAGTTCAGACTTCGCAAGTTTGATATGGAAAACAGACTCCCAAGCACATGTTGGGTAAATCCTCAAAGGGAACAGTGTACTTTATAACCTTATTCACATCATCCAGGATAAATACGTTGCTTCACTATGTTAACAATAAAATGAAAACATGACATAAGGAACTGCTATTTTCATTTTGATATTAGCAACTTAACAGACAGCAGATATGTTGAGGTGTCGTGCTGCATATATGAGCGTCATCTTCACTGTGTGCATATTTATAGCAAAAACAACATTAACATCACTGCCTCCTATCATTTTCATTGAAAATATGAAACATACCCTCTCTCATGCTGAATATCAGTTTTAATAATCAATAATGGCCATTATAAAAGTATAATGTACAATAAGTTTATACATTATAGGAAATAACGGCAAACAATCAGTCAATATACACAATATACGTAGTTACATTAATTATTAACTTATCTTTGCGCTCAGCCAAAACACATTACCTGAGAACAAGCAATGGATTCAAAAGTCTGAGAATATGTCGTTAGATAGAGACAACAAGACGAATTAAATATCCCATTTAACAACTACAGTGAGATAGGATCCAGTGGTAGATCTTTGATGAACAGTCCGACGAGCAGAGCTCTCATCTGGCTAGATATGCTGCAGCGCATGCCAGAGTGTGTGTGTGTGTGGTCACGTGATGTACGTTTTCAGTGGTGTGGTGTAGATGGAGAGTTGTTCAGAAACGCTGGGTGAAACGCTGTTTTAAAACTAAACGTACTAATGTAAACGGAGCCTAGGTCTATGTGTTGCCTGTTGCTTAATCCACAGGCTGGAAACTTCAAGTCAAGATTCTTAGCAAACTATAATCTCTAGAGTATTTAATACTTTGTGAATAATATTCAGGTTTTGGACGAATCATAGTATGAGTAATAATAACAGAGATCCAACAATGTTTTTTACTCATTGCTTTGAATACCCCACAGACACATGAGGTTCACTTGTTACAGCAGCACTTAATAGCAGTCTCACATTAAACTTGTATAAGAGGAAGCATTTTAACAATAAGTGACTCTGGATAATTCATGCAGTAGTTTGATACTCACCCAGAACAGCAGATTGAAGAGGAACATCATGTATTTGACACAGCACAGGCATCCACGAGCCATCTTCAGCTTCTCAAACTCTAAAAGCAACACAAACGACAAGTCCAGGTAAAACACAACGTACTTCCCTCTGCCAGACACGCGTTTATCCTGAGCTTTCCCTCCCTGAGGGACAGCAACCACAGCTCCGTCACTCTGGGCTGGTTGATCTTTAACATTTGAGCCCCGGGAGCCGTAATAGGCCCCCACAGCCAGGCGGTGACCCCGTCGGGCCGCACGGGTGAATTCTGACTCTGCGCTGTCCAATGAGGGACTCCGCTGGACCTCAGATTCGTGGCTCTCACACCTCTGCATCATCAGATAAAGGCCAAACGGAGGGCATGTTTCACACACGTCGAAACACGAAACACGTGTTCAAAGTTGCCATTGAAGAGTCACATAAACACACATACTTCAAGCACTTTAACTATCCAGGTAATTGTCCATCCGTAATTCCTCTGCACTGAGTATGTGTTTCTCCCTGTGCTTCCTATTTGTCTTCTTCTCCTCTCCGCCGTTTCTATCGTGCATGTGTGAATGCAGAGCATGTGCTTTCAACTTTCGCCGCTCTCGCTCCATCGCACTCTTTCTCTGGCATGATTCGCTTTGCTGCATGTACCACTTTTTGCTCTGCACGCTCTCACTTCCCTGCAGTGCTATTATTAGAGATCGTCTCTCCCGGCTCTTCCCATCCCAACTAGTGCTCTGTCCCTCTCTGCATCCTCCTACCTTCATCCGTTCATATCTCTCTCTCTCTTTCTCTGGCTCCTCCTCCTCTACTCTGGCCAATCTGTTTGCAGGTCAATTGATGCGTTATCTTCCATCCCACGTACCTTTTTGAAAGTATCACAAGCCAAGCGGGAAAATGAAAGCTGAATGATGGAACCAAATAAATGTTATTACATGTATATGCAGCAGTGTTTTTTTTGCTACCCTGCGAGACTGTCTGTGTGTTTCCATGCCATCTTGCATAATCAGATAGATCATGCAAACAGAGCCAGTGTTTCCAGGTCACTTCTCTGTTGTCTTGCCACATAAGTAAAAAGAGTGCATCTGATTTGTTGTTTTTGGGGGCTGTGTGATGTTGCTCTTTGTGAACTTTTACATTTGTGAAAACTGCACACACACACACACACACACACACACACACACACACACACACACACACACACACACACACACACACACACACACACACACAAATGTATTTGTTTGGTTTTGCTGCTTGCTGAATGTGTGAAACTATGCATCTCAGATCTTTTAATACAGAGACATGCATGTGGTATCCTGTAGTTAAAAATAGTGTAAACTTCATTGAAATATTTAATAGTTATCATTGCTTTAACATTTATATCAGCCAATATTGTTGTAATTGGGTGAAACAAAAATGATTACAGAAAGAATATTTCTTAATGGGGATAATAATATAGACTGCAGCAGTTTGACTTTTATTTTTTTATTTCTAGTCAAGTCTAATATAAATGAACATTTCTATAGAAGATAAGCATAATAGAATATACTGTGAAAATTGTCTTCAACTTCAATTTATTTTAAAGGTCCCTACAGACCAGAGGTGCCCTGCAGAGTCTAATTCCAAGCCTGCTTCCAAACACTTACCTTTAGGTTTCAAACTAGCCTAAAGGAATCAATTAGTTTGCTCGAGTGTGTTTAATTAGAGTTAAAGCTAAACTGTGCAAAGCTGCAGCCCTCCAAGAACTACGTTTGACACTCCTGTAGACATATAGGCAAAGAAACGTAATATATTAAGCAACAGGGTAAAAATAGCAAACCACTCCAATGCTTTTCCCCATAAAATTTTGATTAATTGTACACATAAACACTTGCCCAAAAAAACCTGATACTTAACAACAACATTATTAATAAAATGTACATTTCATAAACAAAAGTGTCTTAAACTTCTGAACATTATCTTTAGATGTAGAAACTCTAGTAGAACAAAATGGAAAAAAAAAACTAAACAAGAAAGTATTGACAAAAATCACAAACAACCTAGCAACCACCTTAAAAACCTGCTTATTAAGGAGAAGCTTCTCTCAATAGCTACAGAGCACCTTCAAATTTGTAGGGTTTAAAGGCAAAAATCTCTCATTTATTTATCTATCAAATGTCATAATCAATTAAAGTCATTCCTATTTTATAGTAATCCGGATATAAACACAGGCTAGGATGCTTGCTGCAGTGTGAATGAGACAGCCTGTTAAACAGACTTATACTACATCTACATTAAACATTATGTGTATTTGTTCAGTAAGTTGTACAATCTCAAGATTCTATGTCACATTTACTTTCCACAATCACCAAGAGAAAGCTTAAACAGCAGAGAAAGCTCTGGGATGACATATTTTCAGTGTTGCATCAGCTGAATGACTGACAGCCTAGTACACAACAGTACAGTGCACAATGCATTTCGCTCACACTCATTTTTAATAACAAAAAATACTACCCAGACTAAAATTCACAAAGAAAAATCTGCAAAACCTGATCATATATACCACTGAGTAATTTTTATTCTAAAGTGTAAGGTTTCTAGTTAGGTTCGCCTAAGGTATTATCATTTGATTAATAAATAAATAAATATATATATATATATATATATATATATATATATATAGCATTACCTTAAATAACCAAAGCTGCTTGTGTGTATTCAGGGCACATTTCTGTAGTGATCTCCTATTTTTATGAATTCCTCTTTCCCTCCAGTGCTCTTTCCAATCTAATTAAATGGCATTGTGATATTGTGTGTGTGTTGGTGTGTGTGTGTGTGTGTGTGTGTGTGTGTGTGGTGCTGACTGTGTATTTCACCCTGCGGTGGGTTTGTGAGATCTGATGTTCTCAGGAAACTCATTAGACAGGATTTTATTAACTGAACAGTATTTATTTTGCTGTAACGGTGGACAAAAGTTTCCTACAGCTCCATAAGCAGGCAGCAGATTTGTACACCTACTTTATACTTCTGAGGATCTCCCATAAGCACACTGTCAATTGTAGCTTTTAATTAGCCTATCTTTTGCATGTTAGTGATAGGTATTTAGATATGAACTTTTCTGGTCATCCCAATCGAACTGACTAAAAATATTAAGCTAAACTAAAAAAAGTTGAAACATAGAAACCTTTATTAAAATAAGCTAAAGTAACATGAAAACATATGTTGTCATTACTTTTTGTCATATAATTTTTTTTTACTTACATTTAACTGGGATTTAATTTAGTACCTTTTTGAACTCAAAAACTTGATAATATGCAATACATTTAATACATATTTAAAATTGTTAATGCGCTTTTAATTTAATAGTGATTTGAATTGTATTGGGGTTATGACATAACTTGATCCCCAGTTGTATTGCGAAACAGTGAAGTACACTACAGCACGATTTGAGCACTCTTTTTTCTATAATTAGACTCTTCATCTTACTGCAACAGTACATGTAGTACTACACGTCTGAGTGTCAGATCTGAATAGTGGCACATGGGATGCTCTTCTAGAAAATGTTATGGCTTGTGCATCTCACATGGCTGCCGGGAGCCTGAATAGTTCTTTACAGAAAAAGCAGTGCTGAATATCTTTTCACAGATATTTAACGCATCCTCAGCCTGGAACAGCAGTCATTTATTATACATATAGAGAAGAGAGGACATACAGGATTGCAAGACATCTGCTGTGGAATAGGAGAGAGAAAAAAAAGGCAAAACTGCGAGAGTAATAGTATTCGTAGAAGTTCATTGTTTTTTCTTAATGTTCAAGAATGTATTTTATAGCATATTTCACTTTATGGCATATCTTTTCAGTGTTTTATTACCTTTTTCTTGCATATTCGGTGTAAATGCATGTATTAGTTCTGTGAAATTATGTAAATAATACTAGAGAATCACTCTGTCTGAAGCTTTTTCCCCCCAGAAATCCTTCAAGAGATTCAATTATTCAGTAAGCGTACAAAAATAAAATAAAATCACACATGCATATTTAAATAGAAGTACTTTACTTATATTTACAAATTGTAAGTACAAGCATACCAATTACTAATGCCAATTATAGGTAAAAGTACATAACTTTAATTGTATGCTACATTTTTTTTTTTATTTTACATTAAATTATGGTTTAAATTTGGGGGTTGGGAAGAGCAATACAATGATTTATTAATGTTTTTGCCTCTTATGCTCACTAAAGCTGCATATATTTGATCAAAAGTGAAATTAAATTACTTTTACTAACTTATTATTACAATATTTTCAACTGAACTGTATTCCTCTGATGCAAAGCTGACTTTTTTAACATTATTGCTGCAGTGTGACGCTTCTGAAATCATTCTAATTTGTTAAATTGCAAACAATTATTCTTATTATCAATGTTAAAAATGTCTGTGCTGCATTAGATTTGTGGATACTGTAATCTTCAGGGCAGTCTCTGATTTTCAGACCTTTCTGTACGTAGTAAGTGCCGCCCAGATGTGTGTTTAAGGAGCATTCATTAAATAGACTCTGAGGAAGTACAATCTGTTACCTCCTTCAACGCTATAATGAACATCTGCCTGCCAATCTGCTCAGAGCTTCACACAAACACACACACAATCACACACAGAGATATGCCTTTGAGCTGTACACTATTCAATGACAATGTGCTTGGATCCTTCAGAGACAACAAGCTTTTCAAGTCTTCAGAGGAATGTTTCTCATTGTACATGACTGCGGTTACAAACAGGCCATTTGGTTCAGCTGGACACGGCGGCTTGCATGTAAACCGCACTCTCAGGCACTCCAGAGGGATGTATTCCCGAGCAGTCTGCCCTATATGTAAATTAACTTCCATTAACTCTCTATCCAGGGAATGCTGGTTGACTTGCTGACAAAAAACTTGTTTTAACACTTTCTAGGGAAATGAACATTGCGTGTTGGGATTGAAGAAACAGAATTGATGCTGTTTTCATTCACCACAAAGCAAAAAGCTTTTTCAATCCGCTACATTCCATCTTTCTAAGAATTACACTGACATGAAATGCAACTGTGGCACTTTATTTTCCTG